ATATGGGCATATGTATGGTACTTACAACAGCATATGTATGGTACTTATAACAGCATATGTATGGTACTTATAACTGCATATGTATGGTACTTATATGGCATATGTATCGTGCTTATTATGGTATACGTGTGGTACTTATAATAGGAAATATATGGTACTTATAATGCCATATGTGTGGTACTTATAATAGCAAATGTATGGTACCTATAATGGCATATGTATGGTACTTATAAAGTCATAAGTACGGTACTTGTAAAGACATACGTATGGTTCTTATAAAGACATGTATGATACTTGTAATGGCATGTGTATGGCCCTTATAATGGCATATGTATGGTACTTATAATGACATCATATGGTACTTATAAAGACATAAGATGGTCCTTATAAAGCCATATGTATAGTACTCATAAAGCCATGAAAAGTACTGAACTTATAAAGACATGTATGATACTTATATTGGCATATGTATGGTACTTATAAAGGCATATGTATGGTATTTACAAAGACACATATATGATACTTACAACGACATATCTATGGTACTTAGAAGGGCATATGTATGATACTTATGTGGGCATATCAATGGTACTTACACGAGCCTATGTATAATACTTATATGGCCATTTTATGGTCATGTGTATGGTACATATATTGTTACGTGTATGGTACTTATATGGGCATGAGAATGGTACTTATATGGGCATGAGAATGGTACTTATATGGTCATATGTATAGTACTTAACTCAGCCCGTCCTCCTAAGGTTCCTAACGTCAAGAAAAGGTCAATTTAAGGTGTAATCGCCTAACCTACCACAGGACCCAAATCAGAAAACGGGACAGTTCGTCACTTTAGCGACCAGCTTACATTTTCTGCCACACAGCCTTTTGCCAGGAAAGAATCGCAGCCCGGGCGAAATCGTCATTTTTCTCAAAACTCAAAATCAAAACTAGCCATAGAATCGCTTTGAAAATGGTACCATTGTGTTTACCACAGCAATTTATATTTCTTTCTGTAAAGGCTTTCTTTGCTAATTTTCAATATGAAGGCCTTTACACACATATTTACCGAGATACGGCCGTCTCAAATATCAAAAATTTCATCGTGTTTTCTCAACATACTATTAAGAAAAATTTGTTGAAAAACATGTAATAATAATAATAAAGAGCTGAATTAAAAATGGGTAATGAAAATTAAGTAATTTCTATAATATTCCTTTACTTAGAGAGTATTTTGAATGGTACTTATATGGGCATATGTATGGTACTTACAACAGCATATGTATGGTACTTATAACAGCATATGTATGGTACTTATAACTGCATATGTATGGTACTTATATGGCATATGTATCGTGCTTATTATGGTATACGTGTGGTACTTATAATAGGAAATATATGGTACTTATAATGCCATATGTGTGGTACTTATAATAGCAAATGTATGGTACCTATAATGGCATATGTATGGTACTTATAAAGTCATAAGTACGGTACTTGTAAAGACATACGTATGGTTCTTATAAAGACATGTATGATACTTGTAATGGCATGTGTATGGCCCTTATAATGGCATATGTATGGTACTTATAATGACATCATATGGTACTTATAAAGACATAAGATGGTCCTTATAAAGCCATATGTATAGTACTCATAAAGCCATGAAAAGTACTGAACTTATAAAGACATGTATGATACTTATATTGGCATATGTATGGTACTTATAAAGGCATATGTATGGTATTTACAAAGACACATATATGATACTTACAACGACATATCTATGGTACTTAGAAGGGCATATGTATGATACTTATATGGGCATATCAATGGTACTTACACGAGCCTATGTATAATACTTATATGGCCATTTTATGGTCATGTGTATGGTACATATATTGTTACGTGTATGGTACTTATATGGGCATGAGAATGGTACTTATATGGGCATGAGAATGGTACTTATATGGTCATATGTATAGTACTTAACTCAGCCCGTCCTCCTAAGGTTCCTAACGTCAAGAAAAGGTCAATTTAAGGTGTAATCGCCTAACCTACCACAGGACCCAAATCAGAAAACGGGACAGTACGTCACTTTAGCGACCAGCTTACATTTTCTGCCACACAGCCTTTTGCCAGGAAAGAATCGCAGCCCGGGCGAAATCGTCATTTTTCTCAAAACTCAAAATCAAAACTAGCCATAGAATCGCTTTGAAAATGGTACCATTGTGTTTACCACAGCAATTTATATTTCTTTCTGTAAAGGCTTTCTTTGCTAATTTTCAATATGAAGGCCTTTACACACATATTTACCGAGATACGGCCGTCTCAAATATCAAAAATTTCATCGTGTTTTCTCAACATACTATTAAGAAAAATTTGTTGAAAAACATGTAATAATAATAATAAAGAGCTGAATTAAAAATGGGTAATGAAAATTAAGTAATTTCTATAATATTCCTTTACTTAGAGAGTATTTTGAATGGTACTTATATGGGCATATGTATGGTACTTACAACAGCATATGTATGGTACTTATAACAGCATATGTATGGTACTTATAACTGCATATGTATGGTACTTATATGGCATATGTATCGTGCTTATTATGGTATACGTGTGGTACTTATAATAGGAAATATATGGTACTTATAATGCCATATGTGTGGTACTTATAATAGCAAATGTATGGTACCTATAATGGCATATGTATGGTACTTATAAAGTCATAAGTACGGTACTTGTAAAGACATACGTATGGTTCTTATAAAGACATGTATGATACTTGTAATGGCATGTGTATGGCCCTTATAATGGCATATGTATGGTACTTATAATGACATCATATGGTACTTATAAAGACATAAGATGGTCCTTATAAAGCCATATGTATAGTACTCATAAAGCCATGAAAAGTACTGAACTTATAAAGACATGTATGATACTTATATTGGCATATGTATGGTACTTATAAAGGCATATGTATGGTATTTACAAAGACACATATATGATACTTACAACGACATATCTATGGTACTTAGAAGGGCATATGTATGATACTTATGTGGGCATATCAATGGTACTTACACGAGCCTATGTATAATACTTATATGGCCATTTTATGGTCATGTGTATGGTACATATATTGTTACGTGTATGGTACTTATATGGGCATGAGAATGGTACTTATATGGGCATGAGAATGGTACTTATATGGTCATATGTATAGTACTTAACTCAGCCCGTCCTCCTAAGGTTCCTAACGTCAAGAAAAGGTCAATTTAAGGTGTAATCGCCTAACCTACCACAGGACCCAAATCAGAAAACGGGACAGTTCGTCACTTTAGCGACCAGCTTACATTTTCTGCCACACAGCCTTTTGCCAGGAAAGAATCGCAGCCCGGGCGAAATCGTCATTTTTCTCAAAACTCAAAATCAAAACTAGCCATAGAATCGCTTTGAAAATGGTACCATTGTGTTTACCACAGCAATTTATATTTCTTTCTGTAAAGGCTTTCTTTGCTAATTTTCAATATGAAGGCCTTTACACACATATTTACCGAGATACGGCCGTCTCAAATATCAAAAATTTCATCGTGTTTTCTCAACATACTATTAAGAAAAATTTGTTGAAAAACATGTAATAATAATAATAAAGAGCTGAATTAAAAATGGGTAATGAAAATTAAGTAATTTCTATAATATTCCTTTACTTAGAGAGTATTTTGAATGGTACTTATATGGGCATATGTATGGTACTTACAACAGCATATGTATGGTACTTATAACAGCATGTGTATGGTACTTATAACTGCATATGTATGGTACTTATATGGCATATGTATCGTGCTTATTATGGTGTACGTGTTGTACTTATAATAGGAAATATATGGTACTTATAATGCCATATGTGTGGTACTTATAATAGCAAATGTATGGTACCTATAATGGCATATGTATGGTACGGGAAAATTTTAAATTAAGGTCATTTCCTGTCTAGTGTTCACAAATCTTGGGCACCCTGCAGGAGTGGGAGGTGTGGGCGCGTGAGTGTGTGGGGGATTCTCTCTCCTGGGAAAAACTACATCTTTCGTTTCTGTTAAATGCATAATACTTCCTCCGCAGAGGTGTATATTGTTTTCATGTTTTGTTAGCATATCCTCTTTCCTCACAATTAATATTAATAGTATATTTGAATTAAGTATACCTTGAAACTTGCTGTAGTAAAGTATCATAAAGTAGATTTTTCCAACCTTTCTAAAAATCACAAGAATAAAGGTTTTGATGCAGTACAATAATGCCAATTAGGTTTGTTGCAAATTGTTCATAAGTATACAGTCTATAAGTGCTACGAATTTGGGAAACGATCATCATCACAATATGACAAGAAACATGTTACTTTTACACAGGTCCCTCCAGCAGCCCGGCACAGAAGGAGGTGCCAGACGGGGTAACAAGTGCAGCAGAGGAGAAGACCGCGATGCAAGCGCGTGAGGATGTCTACACCACCGTCAGGAGACCAGCTCCTACTTTTCCGTTTGTATGCCCTTGATGTATTTTTATAATAAATTCAAAATACATTGTTATGTCCTTATTATCATGAAAATACTAAACCTGAAAATGGCCTTACCGATCTTTCTTTGTTAACTTTACAATAAATGGATGTTACCTTAAGAAATGAAAACGAAGTGCTGTGCATATCTACTGAAGGCCACAGGATGGGTGACCGCCGACAGCCTCATCCTTGGCTGGGGAAACCTTCAATAAGCCAAAGAGTTTTCTAATCCAAGGTAATATCATGTCATATCCTACATGTATATTACACAAATTACATATATACATAGACATTATTATATATATAATTTTATACAAAATGTGATCCAAAATATCACAGGTAACAACATTTTATTCACTTGTCATAGGTGATATAAACTTGGGTCTGAAAAATGTAAAGTAACTGTTTACAACAATAATTAAAGGAGTGATACAATCACTTATTATTTGAAAATATTTATTGATAAACTTACAATTTCTTCTTGGATAGCAAACATTTTCTGACTACCAAAATATGACAAGGTGAGGTACTATACATTTTGTCTGAAATACTAACACACTTTCCTAGCAAATAACATTCAATGCATGACAATAAGACTCTACACAGCCACATATAATACAGTATACAAAATATGCTAAAAATACAGGGAAATGAGTTGTAACACTTACACTAAATTGTACAGAAGTTTGTGAACACAAATCAGTTTAGTAGGCTACTTTTGTAGATTTAAACCGATCTATAAATACAGCTAATCATAACAGATAGCATGCTACAGATTTACTGAAATGCACTTTGAAATTGGTGAAAAGTGTACAGGTCATTAATAACCTTACTACAGTTTACCCCCTAAAGAACATCTTTCAATCTATCACAGCCAAAAAGTGAAATATGGCACATCACAAATGGAATTTGCAGCCACGTGCAAAACAAAGAATTTACAGCTAGATTACACGTCGGGGTTGTTAATATACTGCGACTCCAAGAAGAAATCATCACTATGATTACTGATATACCTGCAAGAAGAACACATGAATGAATATAACATTACTTATTACTCTAAGATTTACATAATCATATATACAAAAATTACTCTTCTAGATGCTTTTCAGCTAAAATTGTCTTGTGTGTACATATTAAATCTATACTACTGTAATGTCACCAATATGATGTATTATCTGGGAAAGTCTTCGACATCCTGTAGTACAGTACTTCAGCACCATGCAGTAAGGACCTTATTCGTACACATTCCAGTTCATTAATGTAAAACAATCTATACCATTTGATTCAATATGGTTAGTTTTAATAATCTACTATAACCCTTAAAATCTAATTCCTTGTAATAATAGTATTCTAAAGTTTAACTTATTAATGTAACAAAAAATAAAGCTTTGAGAAGCTTTAAAAAGCTCTTAGTGTATGAATTTGCTGTGCCATGGAGAGGATTCATTTATGAATAAAGTCTTTGATGGATAAAGTCTGGCACTGCATTCAGGTAGTGGTACCAGTGATTTTGTGACAAATATTTCTACAATCATAAGGGAACAAACTAAGCCAGATCCATATACTCCAAGTACGGTACTCTAAGAATTAAAAAATATTTCACGAATCATGCTGGATTTTGAGTGCTGCCTTAGTAAGGAATACTAAGTTATTAGTATTATTTGTTATTAGCACTATTAGATGCACTTACTCAATAAATAAATCAAGGTGTTTGATGATAATCTTCTTCTTGGCTTCCGGGAGATTCATTCGAAACAAGATTTCAGGAAGCTTCACTGTCGAAAGAAAAATGAGAATATATTGATGTTGGACTTTGCAGGTTTTCATGTGCAATTAAGAACAAAAACAGTGAAAGCCCTTCTGGCTCTACCCATAACCAACTGTTCTTACATGGTTATCATTAAAGGGAGTGGTCTAACTTTACTACTAATTCATCTATTAAAATAGCATGATGCACATTTCATATGAACCCCCATTGGTTATGAAACTACTCCTATACATGATTTACATACCAAAAAGCCTAAGAAGATGTATGTGGCCATAGAGAATTGATGGTGGAGGTGGATCACGGTTCGTTTCTGGCAACAAAGTCCAGTCTTGGAGCTGTGGTGGGATAGCTCGGTAAAGTGATGTGCTGATGTCTGTTCCCGCACCTCCACTCACGCCTGCCGTGCTGGCACCCGAAGTAATAGTTGTAGGAGTGCTACGTCCAGATTCACTAATGGAGAAGAATGACTTTTAATACAATCTTCAAAGATTGTAAAAACTTGCATTACAGTATTATAAATTTTAAATATGTTTATGTTTGCAGGACCAAGCAAAATGTGTGTATCTAATTATTATAAAAAATCAGCTGTAGAGTACATAGGGATATAAAGAGCTAAAATGTTTCAAAAGCTACATGTCTGGATCAAAATTTTAAAAAGCCATTTAAATTTGTCAAGAAGTAACAGCAAAAATGATATCACTAATGGGATTAGCCTGTGAAGAGCCCTTGCATCTATCCTGCTGCTCATCTGTGTTCTATGTTGAAAATTTGGTGCCAAATTAGAGAAAAATAATTGCCACATCTATTAAGAGGCAAATTAGTAAAGCACAATATCTCGGATGACAAAGCTCCCCACAGGGAGAATTTAAAGAGAAAATTTGTTCACAATTACTGCCATAATTAATTTAATGTTACTCTGTATTTATAACGCCGACAAGATGATTTCCAACCATGCAGAAAACAGGTATTGTCACAGGCTGTCACACACTCAAATGTAGATTTGATACAGCCCAATAGGCTCCAGAATCTGTATAACAGTTAATTGACAGTTGAGAGGCGGGAGCAGAGAGCCAAAGCTCAACCCCCCTGCAAATACAACTACGTGAGTACACAAATGTAGGAAATACATTGTCATCTGTATCTTTTATGCCTTTTTTCTGCAAGAACTTCCCCTCTTTTATGATATTGCCTTTATGCAGACCCTTCTTACATTTTAAGTGCCTTAAGCATTTACAAATGTTACATGAACACTTGAAACATTTGCAAAAGAATTCCACAGGCTTGTTTGACTATACAAAAGCAGCAGTTGCAACACTCAGAAGAAATTATTCACATTACAGAAAGGGATGAGGACTGCCTTAACAAGCACATACAAGTGAAAGGAAAAAAAAGAAAATGGGAAGAGATACCTGCATTCACCCATAATGTATCACAATTTTGACACAACTATACCATCAAAATACAGTTGTTCAGTGAAATTACCTCATAAACGGTTCCAATCGCCACCTGCGATTACTGCCTGTGAATGAACCTTCAAATGCAATTTTTTTTAACGAATATGTGTACTACATTAATATGTGTACTATTTTTTTTTCGTGCGTACTCGGATATACGACTTCTAATTAGCCAAGCTGTTTATGGGTTAAAATCACAGTACTGTACAGTAATACTGTATTAACATTTCGTCGGACAAATGAGCATCGGCTTTGACAGGTTAGGTCAAACTTTGACAAACAAGCAAACTTACAAATGACAGGTTACTTAGGGTTGCACGATTCTCGTTAGGCATCTCGTCAGACATCTGTCAAGAATGACTCATGGTAAAAAGTGCAAACAATACGTGTGATGTACTCAGAGTTTGAGCGACAGGCAGTCTACTACATGGGAACAGCCAGTGGAGGATTATGTAAAGGATAAAATTCATGTTGACAAAGATGGATAGAACTAGGTTTGAAGATCAAATATAGAGCGCTACCTGGCAACTATTTTTTCTATAACCGCTCACATGGAGGGGAATTCTTAAAAAAATACAAATAAAAAAACCAAGAAGAGAAAGATAAGAGACCCACCATGTCATGTTGTTTGTTCCACTCTTTTCACGTTCCACGGTGCTGTTTGAGTCCCCTGAAAGAGGCCTCTTTGATCGTAGTAGGCGACGACCTGTTGTCTCGGCAGCTGAAAATGTAAGTATCTATACAGTATAAATATTAATGGAAATGTCCGTTTGTTCAAAATCGCTAATCTCTGAAAGTTCTTCACCGATTGTTTTGAAATTTTCATACATTCCATTGGCATCCGAGCGAGTTTTTATATACATACTATATATATGTCATGTTTGTGACGGGAAAAAACATGCTTTTTTTTTTTTAAATTGTTTTTCATGTGATGGAAATCTTCGAAACCTTTTTACCGATTGTCTTGAAATTTTGATGTTGCATTCGAATAGGCGCATGTAATTATTTTGCGTGACATTGTGTTGGAATTGAGCTGTGTAGTTTACCATACCGTTCATTTCGTAAGTATAGATAATTTTTTAAATTTGTTAATTTGTTATTTCATTTTTTTTAACTGTTCTTATTTTTCAGTGATAGGAACATCAGATCATTTTGATGTTCCCAATTTTCTGATGGGAATATCAGATCATTTGGGAATGCATCGGACGAGAGAATGGGGAATGGTGGGAAGGACGAAGGGACGAGAGTGAGGGATGGTGGGAAGGACGAAGGGATGAGAGTGAGGGATGGTGGGGAGGACGAAGGAACGGGAGTGAGGGATGGTGGGGGAGGACTAGGGGACAGGAAAAGGGGTAATGGTGGGGAGGACAAGCGGATGGGGGAGTTGGGGATGGTGGGGATGAGGGGACAGGGGAATGGAGAATGGCGGGGAGGACAAGGGAACAGGGGAGGGGGGGAAATGGTAGCATGGATTATGGGACGGGGGAGTGAGAGATGGTGGGGAGGACGAGGAGACGGTGGAGTGGGGAATGGTTGGCGGAGGGGGGAAACGGTGGGGAGGACTGGGAGACAGGGAAAGGTTGCTGTGGCCATGCGTTGCTGAGCCACAGCAACGTGTGGCCGGGTACAGCTAGTAATAAATAATAATGGAAAATCACCAGGTGGCTGAAAATATTTAAAGAGAGCTAAATAATGTAGAGATATCTGATTTCTAAGTGAATGATCTACAGGAGTTCACAAAGTTGTGGAACCAAGAATTTTTAATACTGTATATATAAGTCTGTGATAATTAGATAAACTATACACTACACAGCAAAATTCGTACTATTTGGATTTGGTTCATAACATTTAGAACTAATAATGATTGTTCTGATTGAAAGGTTGGCAAAATTGCTTTATTCCATGCTTGAATGCCTGCAGGAAGTATGCAAACAGTAGGGATTAAGCTGTAATGGCTCTCCACAGTTCTGGTTGGGGCCACCAGGCTTTGCCTCCTTTTCAGCAGGACAATGATGTATGGGAAGTACATCTAGTGTTGGGCATATGTTGGGGCTTTAAATCCTCATTGTACATGCATATTTTGTTCTAATCAAGTACAATGGAACTTTATATAACATGGTTATATAATACATTTTTTACACAATTTTCATTTTGTGACCCAATATTTAAATTGCATGAATTATTTTTATAACACGGATATAAATGGAGGAGAGATTCACAGAGAAAAAGAAATGTGCAAAATACAAAATCAACAATTCCAAAGTGTGCCTGTGCAAAATGAGGTTTTAAGAGAACCAGCCAATGCCAATTAAAGAGAACACCATAGAGTACATAAAAGTGTCTTGATACAGAGTGGAAAAACTACTTAAGGAGCTAGGAAGAAAGAAAGCAGTCAAGCCAAGTGGAGTTTTACCTTAGATTCTGAGAGAATGTACACCTAAAGTGAGCATTCCACTTTAGGTGTACATTCAAGTACATCATATGACAAATGATATTCAAGATATCTTTGTGCACAGGAATCTTAGCAGACATGGGAAAGCTCAAACATGGTTCCAATATACACAAATGGTAACAGAGAAGACCCTCAAATTTATAGATCCCTATAATTGACTAGCGTGATAGTCAAAACAATAGAAAAAAGTATAGAATTCCTGGAGAGACATGATTATAATAGTGGACAGACAGTATGGTTTTTGAACAGGAAGATCCTGTGTAACAAATCTACTAAAGTTTTTAATGGAGCCATGGAGATTCTGCAGGAAAGAGATGGTTAGGTTGATTATGTTTAACTGGACTTAAAAAGAGGCTTTTGAGAGAGTCCTACACAAATAGTTGTTTTGGTAACTGGATATGTGCTGGAGGTGTGAAAGGAAGACTGTCACACCTCCTCCAGCATGTTCCAGTTTCTAAAAACTAATATGCTGGATGAAGAAACAGATGAAAAATTTTCTAACTGCCAGAAATTTTAGGGCAGTAATTGGAGTCATATGTATCTAACATGAGTACCACAGGATTCAGTTCTTGCACCAGTAATCTTCATCGTCTACATAAATGATATACCAGAAGGAATACAGACTTATATAAACATGTTTTCTGATGATGCTAAGCTACAAGGAAATATGAGACAGATGATTGTCATGCCCTTCAAGATGACCTAGACAAAATAGGTGTATGAAGCACCACATAACAAATAATGGAATTTAATGTGAATAAATGTCATATTATGGAATGTGGAGAACTAGGTGGACTAGGAGAAAATAGTCCGCACACAATCTACAAATTATGTGGAAAGGAATTAAAGAACTATGACAAAGAAAGATCTAAGGGTGGCTCTGGATAGTAGACTCATCAGAGGAACACACAAAGGACATTGTGCAAGGGGCATGTGCTATGCTTATCAATATCCGAATCACTTTTGAATACATGGATGATGAAATTCTAAAGAAACTGTTCACAAGTTTTGCAAAACCAAAATTAAAATATGCAGTGGTTGTATGGTGCCCATATCTCAAGAAGCACATCAGTAAACTGGAAAAGGTGTGAAGGCATGCTATAAAATGGCTTCCGGAACTCGAAAACAAGAGCTACGAAGAGAGATTAGATGCATTAAATATGCCAAAGCTTGAAGATAGAAGGATATAATCACTACATATAAAGTGTTAACAGGAATTGACAAAAATTACAAAGAAGAATTGTTATAATTACAACTTCAAGAACAAGAGACAGATTCAAACTAAGGAAACAAAGTCACCAAAAATAACATTAGAAGCTTCACTTTTGCAGAGTGTCAGACAGTTGAGACAGGTGACAAGGTGGAGAAGGTCAAAACTGTCAGTAATTTCAAAGCTTCATATGACAAATAATGCTGAAGATGGGACACCACAAGCATAGCTCTCATCCTGTAATTACACTTAGATAATTACACACACATTTTCACATACTCTCTCTCCATTTCCCACACACACACACTACTTCTCTCGCACCCCAACACCAACTTTCACCCATGAAAAAAAACAAAAAACAAAAAAACACTCAAACACAAGTATACTATTTTAACTAAATTAAGGAATTCCTATAATGTACAACACTGTTGTTTCTGAGACTGTAACTCTATTTTTTCCCAAATGTTATTCAATATACGTATATAGCATGATCGTATACCTAATTTTCGAGGACTATTACTAGTCTTATACAAGGGTCAACTGATATGTAGAGAGAGGCAGATACCTGCCGTCTCATGGTCGGTGTGGGTCTCTTATATAAGCCAGTGCACTATGGCATAGCTGGACCAGCGATTAGCTCGTCCAGCTACCGAAATACCCCTCCTAGAAAAAACAACTAAATACAACAACATAACATGGTATCCTCCTCCTGGAGGATACAGAATAACAAACAAGAATAAATCCAACTACTACTATGCTACAAAAGTGTAAGAATCAGCCAATTTGGATTCAATCAAGCAAAGATGCCTATCCAGATATGCAAGAGTAAACCACTCACTTACTTTTATTTCTCTCCTCATCCTTTTGAATATTCTCCACTTTAGACTTTGTATCTTCTGTATCAAATTCATCCTTGTGTACTAGCATGTTTTCAAAATTTTCTCTTTCGTCAATTGACATTGGCTCAAATCCGTCCATTTCTCTGTTGGAGAAAACAAAATTATGATATATACAAAGCTGTTATTCAGAATGGCAGCATGTGTAATTAAACAACTAATTAGTATTAGCTTTCATTAATACATTAAACAATGTTATACAAAATAGATAACTTACAACTTGGCTCATCAAAATAGACAAGTTAGCTCATCTGGGTAACAGAGTACCCAGATGAGCCCCACACACATTAGAAAGAACTTTTTCAGTGTCAAGTGTCGTTAACAAATGGAATACACTAGGAAATGATGTGGGTGGAGGCAGACTCTGTACACAGTTTTACATGTAGATATGATAGAGCTCAAGAAGCTCAGGAACCTGTACACAAGTAGATTGTCAGTCGAGAGGCAGGACCAAAGAGCCGTGCAGCTCAACCCCTGCAAGCACAACTAGGTGATAACTTCATTATACAAGGTGAATAATAATACTCAGAAATTTGCATATACTGTACAGTACTAACAAATGCATTAACTTCTTCCATATAAACTGCTTCCACCTAGCCTTGGCATATTGGGTACAGTTGCCTGCCTCCAGACATTCACTGATCTCCAAACATCAGAACTGAAAATTCCCTCCACCAGTGCATAGAATGAAACCACAAGGAAGCCAGAAACTCTTCGAACATACTCAAAATAAATGTTCCTCAAAATGAAAGGTATCTAATAGAAACCTGTTAAAAGTAAGTATCATAGCATTAATTATGGAACGATTCAGTGCACAGTTCAATGCTTTAATTCGTAAACACTTCAAAGATTAATATATTTTGTTAACAAGAGGAACACACACACACACACTCAAAACTTACCCTTTACTATAAAGAGGTTGTGCATTTCTGAGACGTTCAGCTTGTCTACGTTCCTTTGCGTATAAAAGTAGCGTTTCTATGTGAAAGTCAAAACAAATCCGAATACCATCCATAACCTCCTTACACAAGTCCAATCTGTTGAAATTTCAATAAATTTATTATAACCCAAACACCGCTGCAAACCAATAATTACAGCATTCCTTATTTTCACTTATTTATAAGAAGACATTAAAGATGCAGTATTAACAGGAATAACATTTGATTTACTTACGTAAGAAAGCATTTGTCTTTCTCTTTAATTTCATTCCTCCTTTTTTCTTTTGTCCGAGCCAAGTAACGCACACCAAAAAATTTCACATAATTCTCTAACAGGCTTAAGGTTGTTTTATTGGTCGGAAGGTCTAGCAGCTTGTATGGAAATAGAATTAGAATTAATATACTCAATCAAATATTCTAAGTATAGAGTAAGTACTAATAATGCAAGTACTCTATCTACCCATGTGCAGGTGCATTCAAATAAATCATTGGTTAAAAATACATTAATTATCATACTATACCTTGTCTCTATCATTGATTAAATGATAATCCCTCTCTAGGACTGCTTTCAGGTTATCCGGCAAAACAATGGGGAAATGTCGTTCAATGGTCTCGTCATCACTAGTGACATCTTCTTCTTCTTCTTCCTCTTCCTCACCCTCCCCCTCCTCCTCCCCTTCCCCCTCCTCCTCCTCCTCCTCCTCCCCACCTGTCGTGCTATCCACCTCGGATATGGCTGAGCCAACTTCTTCGTCCTCAGTGCCAGTAGTCCCAGTCTGGTTGATCAGGAATACACCAATATATTTATCAGTGGATGGCTGCTCGTGAATTTCTTTAAGTGGCAAGCTGTAATTACTAAAAGCGAAACAATGTTAAAATGACACTTCATAACTATATATGTTATGACATTTTTACCTTACTAAATAATTTGAAAATGCTGAGAACAGTATTAGTATTGCTGAGACAACACCAAGTATTAGTCTACAAAGCTGCATGTCACTATCACCATGTTATGGCATCTTAAATCATGAATGAGGATGTACTGTAGTGCTCCTCTCTCACAAACCTTGAAATTTCTAACTGAAAATATAAGTTACTCTTCATAACTATGTCAGACGATATCAGATAATTATTTTCATTAATACTAGTCGTTGGCCAGCAGAGCCATATCACGTTGAAGAAAACAGCGGTACAGTGTTAGGAATATGAGATACTAATCCCATAAGTTTAATTACTGTCACCTTTCCAAATCTACTTTATGGAATCATGAACAAAATAACAACAATATTGTGCGCCAAATTCTCTTTTAACATATCTTCCCAAGAAGGGTAAAACTACTTACGCAGTAAGCGAGTAAGCACTGCATTTGTTTCTACAATATCATATGAAGTACCTATTTCTGAAGAGCTCTCCTCTCACACTGACAACACAATTGAATCAAACTAGTTTCATACCAACCTATATCCTCTTCTCACACGTCACACAGTTAATCCATAAATTTTGGCAAAACTCAATATCATCCCCAATCCATTACAAATTTATTATGCAAATGACTCCATATGCAAAGCATGCTGGTCATACCTGTGAACTTGTTTCTGACTCCTCTTGCTGCTCCCTCTCTTGCCGCTCTTTTTCAATCGTTTCTCGTATTGTCTCTGACAGTCGCCGTTTTCTTTTCCTTTCTTTGCTGCCAAGAAAACAATAATTATTCATCTTTATACCTCAGAAATTATACACAAAGTAATATCATAAATTAGAAAAGGTAATGGAAGATACTGGAAGACTAGGTCCCAAATTTATGTGGTAAAATAACAACATATTGAAGCGAATTATATGGTAAGAATTGCAGAATAGACGCAGTGAAGAGTAAAGTTGCCATAAGCACAATCTTAGAGCAATTAACATCAGAAGCTATTCAATACCCCACCCATCAAGCATGAAAAACATTACTGGAACAAAAGTGGACTAAGACAAAAATTAGATACATTTCTGCAAGAAGTGCCGGGCCAACCGGGTTGTAGTGGATACGTGGGTCTGTGGGCCGCTCCAAGCAACAGTCTGTTGGACCAAGTTATCACAACTCAAGCCTGGCCTCTCGCCAGGCCCCAGACCCCAGGCATGAGGAGTAAAACTTCAAAAATATTCCAGGTATACTCCAGGTAAAAGATTTTTCTACATAAACTAAGATTTCAGGGACCTGAATCAGCATTACTTGAGAATACCTGGTTGATACCTGGTTGATGGGGTTCTGGGAGTTCTTCTACTTCCCAAGCCCGGCCCAAGGCCAGGCTCGACTTGTGAGAGTTTGGTCCACTGCAGTTTGCTGCAGAATGATGTTTTCAGATTTATATTTATTTGATATTCACCCTTCAAAACTTATACACAATGGCAACTCTGAATTAGCTTTAAAATTATAAAAACTCAAATAACACAAAAAATGGTGTTTTGAGATTGAATTTTCCTGCCAAAAATGCAGACTCATAAATCCAGAATAATACGTTTAAATTATTAAAGTTATTTTATAACAATAATAAACAAAATAATATACTAGTTGGCAACTTATCATTACAGTCTTGCAAGCTTTTCTTGTGACTAAAAAATTTAAGTAAAATTATTAGCTCAAAATGTAGCTAATAATCCAGGCTTTAAAATGGTAATATAAAAAGAATTAACAAATGAAACCGTGACTCACAAATGACCCTGGGGAGGAGGGAGGGGGCAGAGAAGCCTTACAAAAATTACATTACTATTTAAGGATAAGTGGTACTTCCTACAAAAAAACTTAAATGCTTACAGCTTTCACAATGTTAGATCGTTAGTTCTGTGTAATGTAACAGCGCCAAGGCCAAAAATGGGCACTCATGTAAAGCACTAGCCTGGGAGGTAGGCAAAGAGGAGGCGCCCCTCACTTGTATACATTTCATCCCATCAATGTTTTCACTCTTGGAGGGAATCCTAATTTTTGTTCAACACATTCTGGTTTCTCAGTGCAAGCAAAACATTAAAAGATAATGCAATAATTATGCAAAAAGATCCTGTATATATTTCAATTATTAAGGTTGATCTACATTAATGGAATAAAGCCATTAAGGTTGATCAAACAGAAGAAAGTGTAACAGTTCATGGCTGCTACATAAGCTAGAATGGGGTTCTGTACTTCATTGAGAATTTTATTTAAAAATATATATACTGTATATAACAAAAGGTTACAAGCAGGATTCTCTGAAAACTTAGCATAACGCCCCATAAAAGTTTGTGTATTTAAGGGGCTTCCACTAATATGGTTCTCACAAACTAGTATGAAAACTAGTTCCATTAAACCATACAAATACCATTAATGGCATCTCTTGCTGCTTACCTATCAGCAATTATGGGAGAGTAAGATCTAGCTCTTTGTGCCTTGCCTCATACCCTTTTATACTTGGCATGCCTATTACATCTTTTGACATTACATTGTCATACATTGTCATGAAGGACTTTACTGAAGAGGAAAACTTCCATAATAATTCTACACAAGAACTAAACGAGGAAGACCCCTCCCTTCATAACCCGAGGCAGACTAAGATCATTCCATCCTCTGGGGGATGAATTACGTAGTTTTGTAGGCTACAGAGCTCTATCCTCTCAAGACAATCTTGAGGAGCCATGCCACAACGGTAAACCTAATTCAAAGTTAAAATAATATTGAGTAACACACTACTGTACTGTATAAAATACTAATCCTCTCACTGTTATGAGATCAGAAAAATTTATTTAGAATCAATAAAAAGAGGCTTATAGGTCAATAGAGAAAGTGATTACTTAAGGAGTCTAACATAAATAAAAGGTCAAAATAATATACTTATTGACCCAGTGAGAGTCGGTTACTAAACAGAGAGAGATGACACTTACTATAGTGGACCTCCAGTTAGCACCCTGTTTGATTTCATAGACCTGAAATATGGTTAAGAGTATTATTTTGCATTATATAGTATAAGATTTAACTGAATTACAGTTTTATGGATTTCAGTTCCTATCTAACATATTAATTATATGATTCTAACAATTCATATCTGTGTTTAAAAATAATTCATTCATCTTCTTGTATTTTTGTTTTTTTACCAAGGTACAAAGGTGGTTCAAATGAAAACAGCACAAGTTAAATCAAATTACTGACTGAAACTGAGGTTAAGGATCCACTTTGTTTATCAACATAATCTCCAGTTCCTATAATGCACTTCTTCCATTGTGAAACAAACATCTAGACTCCATCCAAAAGAAATTCTTTGCTTGCTTGTCGAGCCACTCGTGCATCTCTATGGACTTCACCATCAGAGAAAACCTGTTTTCCACATAACGCTTCCTTGAATGGTGCAAAAAAGATGATAGTCACTTGGTGCCAAATCACTAAAATAAGAGGAATGTGGAAGCACTTCAAATTGCAAGTCTTAAGCGGTGTCGACATCAACAAGGGCACTGAAAAAACGGGACATGTTTAGTTGTAAACAAATATTTTCTGATTAAACTTCAAAGTTTGGTCCAAACTGCAAGCTTCAAATGGCACTTTAGTATATCACAGTACAAAGAACTGTTGACAGATGTAACTTTCTAAATAAAATTATCTAACAGAAATGCCCCTGTCATAAAATACAGTAAATATAACCTCTCCTGTAGATGGTGTTGGTCTGAATTTCTTAGGCCTTGGTGAGCAGAAATGCTGCCACTCTTTGCTGACTTTTTTTTTATCTTCAAGCTGTGAGTAACACACCCATGGCTCATCCCCAATTAAAAATTGCCCAAAATAAATGAGCACGAGATTGCAAAAGCGAAACAGGCAGATTAGTGAAAGACTCGATAGAAATACAGTACAACCCCGATTAAACGAACTACTGTATATGAGGGCCAAACCCAATTCTTTGCAGGGAGGGATTTGTTGCAACCGGAGATACCACCAAGATGTATTTCCCATCTCCTATGGGCTAATTTTATTTATCAAAATTTTAATTTCAACCTATAATAGACAGCTACTAAATTAACATGTCTGGAAAAAAATTAATCATATCTATATTATTTCCTCATGTCCTTAGCCTAAAAACTCATTTTCGAAAGATAACAGGGCTAATACCCGAGTTAACGAAACCTTTCCACCCCAAAATGGAAGCAATTGGCCGAGTTAACGAAACCTTTCCAACCCAAAATGGAAGCAATTGGCCGAGTTAACGAAACCTTTCCAACCCAAAATGGAAGCAATGGCCGAGTTAACGAAACCTTTCCAACCCAAAATGGAAGCAATTGGCCGAGTTAACGAAACCTTTCCAACCCAAAATGGAAGCAATGGCCGAGTTAACCAAACCTTTCCAACCCAAAATGGAAGCAATTGGCCGAGTTAACGAAACCTTTCCAACCCAAAATGGAAACAAACTACTGTATGGAATGTGGTTCTAAACATGCTCAATAACTTTCCCAAGGCCCCCAACTATCTCTTGAAACATTGAGTCAGTCTACAAAAATCATCAAGAACATGATTGGAGCCATATTAAGTGTATTAACCATTCATTCCCCTAATATTTCCCCCACGTATGTAATAAACACCGTAAAGTGTAGGTATACCTTATATGCCATTATTCATTTCATTTTATGCTTCATTTGTCTATACAAAGCCTCAAAATTTAAAATTTTAGTTAACATAAAGGGTTTCTGGGAAGTATTGAACATACTGTATACAGTTTGTAGACTGTTAATACAGTAAATGTAAAAAAAATAGTTATGTAATTACCTAAGTGATAATTACATCAAATATGTTTTTTTACTGTATATGTACATGTACATTTTTGTTACATGTATACGTACGAAGTAATGCACGTGTGAAAGTGAAAAACAGTTACTAAACAAAACAAAAACAAAAAGAGTACTGCATGATGAAGTATGTAGTGTGGAAGACGCACATAACTGATGGGATGTCTTTATATTATTTTATTACGTGCTCTCATATTTCGATGATTCCTCCCCGCCCCATAAAAGTGGCGTTGATAATAATTTAACACTTAGATCGAGAATAAAATATATTGACTTTTTTTTTGGGGGGGGGGGCACAGGATCACACTGACTAATGTAAACTGCATTACACACAGAAATCACAATAACGTGATGCATCAATGAACAAATAGGCAGCGTCTGGGATGCTCACAGACATAGGTTCGAATCCTCGTCACTGCCCTTGTGGATTTGTTTAATGTAAACCGATTTCTGCTTGTAGAGTACATCTCTAAAATTACAAACAACTGGCATATAAAAGTTATCAAGTAAAAGAATTTTTGGTGCTTGTAACGTTGTCATTATGCCCAAGAATAACGGCTAACGAAAACACGAGTTGAACACTTTCGGTAGTTTTCTTCATTTATTCCTACTGTACTCACGTTGAATTTTCTCATTAAAAGGAAAAAATTAATTTAAGGGTATTTACAAAAACTTTCAGGCCTTGAAATTAATATTAGAATTTAATATGAAATCTGTTTATTCTAGATATATGCGGTATGCAGAATTAAAACAAACATTTTCCCAAATACTTAACTCTTAAAGAAGAAACTTGTTACATTATTTTTTTAATTTACTTGAGGGAATACAATGTAATTCTTGTTGGAATTAACCAGTCAAGAGATTAATGACTGCCTATGACAGATAATCACTCACAGGTGTCAAATAAAGCAAAGTAACTTCCCAATGGCAACAATTTTGAATTAATTACTTTTGCTGTTTTCATTTAAACCTTCCCTGTAGAATATAGTATTTTCTTCAGAGGACAGTAGATGTTTAAGACTTACAACTTTATCTGGGCTTTGTCAGCAAGCTGTCGCTGTAAATCCCTGTTTTCATCTGTGTCTTTCAACACAAAGTCTTCCGAAACACAACGATCCCAAGATGCATTCCACCCCTAAAATGACAGTTTCATACACCGAGTCAATAAGGCAGACAAACACAAACTAAGGTCACACTAAAAAATCTGGTTTATTTAAAAAAACTTATATGAAGATAGCTGCTATACTTTATTAGTTATCATTTCCAAGTCCTCTGAAAATGCAAATATAAGATTAAAAGGAAAAAAAAATCACAAACTTAAGTCCAATACCATGAAGGTGCATACCTGAAAATGGATTAAGTATTCAATGTGCTTTCGCCCTTTACCATCTTTGGTGAACACTACTTCCAGGACTTTCGAGTCATAGAGTACCTTAGCCTTGGTAGGATCTGGCTCGTAGCAAAGGACTCTTTCTCCCTCGCTAAACTTCACCCTCACTCCTCGGGTTGACACCATTATAACTGTGAACAAAATTAAACAATACAAGCATGATAAGCTATTGTGTGTGGTGCACATTTTTAAAGTCAAAGAAGGGAACACTAACTGAAAAATTGACAGTCCCATTTACTGTTCATTGAAAGGCAATTGATGCTTTAGCTTCATTCTAATTGGCTGTAAGAGGTACATACACACGCACACATGCACACACACACACGCACACATGCACGCACGCGCGCAGACACACACGTGCGCACTTAAAGGCTGCAAATAGTATAATACAGTACACCCATTTTAAGTCCAACACCACAGGGGATGCTGCATATATTTAGCCATATTGTCAAGCAGAATTATTTTGTTTATAAACAGGCTCTGCACATGGGCAAGGCCCAATCATGAGCCAGATCTAGAGAGCTTTAGTGGGGTGGCTTTCTTGGATACTTATTGACTGACCTCTCTGAAGAAGGGACAAGTGTATTCAGAAATGTTAAAGAAGAAAAGAAAGTGGGAAAATAAAATGCAGAACATGGGCAAAATATACAATAGATGCAAGGAAGGCCAGAGAGATAGAAAGCAGGTATACAGGAGTCCAATATAGAGCTAGCTGAAAAACAGGGTACCAAAGACCACATCTCATCTTGGGAAAATGGCAACAGATCAGCATATCAAAACAGAGTGCAAAAATAAGAAAAACAGCCAAACATTGTAATGATTTTTTGATCTAGAGATAGTAGACAATATTTAAAGTAAATTGAATTGTTTACAAATTACTGGAATGGAAATAACACGACTAAAAGGCTAGAAGAAAAAAGTACAGTATTATGTTTGTCTATAGTATCTGCTGGTGCCTATACCCCAGTTTCCACTCTGGTTGTTCTAAGGGTCTAGAATCCCTTTTGAATTACAGTGACACCTCGGCTTACGAATGCCGCTATTTACGAACTGTTTGGGTTACGAGCCTAATTTCTTCGGAAAATTTGAATCGGGTTACAAACTTTGCCTCGGGAAACAAGTGTGTTCATACGAGTATGGGCTGACCTAGCGCGTGGTGGCACGGCGATCGTGCCACAATTTACCAGTGCCTCCCACCTAATAACTATTGTGCCTGAAAGAAAATGTTTGCAGTATGAGAAGAATTGCAAAGTTTTGCTGAAAAGTGTCACCCAAATCAAGCTGTAGCAGACCATTGTGTTAACCTTTTTAATGACAATGTGATGTCTCACTTGAGACAAGTGTTACAATGTAGGGAAAACAAGTGTTACTAGACAGGTTTTTAGTTAGAAAAAGAAGCAGTGAGCTACAAGCATGTCCTAGTGGTATGCAGGCAAAACGTACCAGAGAAGTCATCACTGCCTGATGTTATAATGGAAGGGGACTCCCTTTCCAAACATTAACATCTCTCCTCCTCCCCTCCTCCTCACTGTCTTCCATACGCCAACAAAAGTTATCAACAATGGTAAGTAAAAACTTGTATATACTTTAGTACTAAAGATTTGGGTGAATTAGTTATAAAATTTACTTTGAAGTTATTTTTTGGAGGGAGTCTGGAACGGATTAATTCAATTTCCGTTATTTCTTATGGAGACGTTTGCTTCGGTTTACAAATTTTCGGCTTACGAACCATCTCTGGGAACGAATTAAATTCGTAAGCTGAGGTACCACTGTATTGTACTCTCTTACCTTGTCGCTCTTCATATTTCTATCTCTTCTTAGTTTAATTCCACGATCTTTTAATATTGTTTTCCTTTGTACATAACTGTACAACAACCCAAGCTGATCTTTCACCTTTGCACATATGTAACTTTTAACCTGCTTGTCCATGTCTCTCCTGTCTCTGATGTACAGAGTTGTACTCATTGTTGGCTCTTTGTTTATCTCCCTGTTCTGCTTTGTTTACTTTTTCCCGTACCATTTTTTGTTCCTGCACTCTGCCTTCCTGTACTGTTGAACCACGAATTAATCCTGCCCATTTCATAGCCTGACTTTCCTAAACAAAATGAATATTTCCTAAATTTTTCAATATTGTCCCTCATTATTTTTCCCTCTAGGTTACTCTTCCAGTCCACTCTTCCTCTTCCTGTAAACCTTCTACATGTGTAGTCTCTCTGCCTGTAGTGTCATGTCCTCCTCGACTCATTTCCTCGACTTGCCCCTCTCCTTTAGCAGACAACGTAATAGGAACTAGAACTTGGTGGACAGTGGCACCCAACTGAATTGTCTAGTATTGAATAAGAGCTCTAATGTTAAATACTGTATCTAGTGCTGAATACTGAATACTGTACTAGGTCTAGGGCTGAATACTAGGTCAAGCTTACTAGGTTATAAGATAGTCCCATCCCTTACCCCTTGTTGGCTACATAACGTGGAAGCGCTCAATTATTTTTCTCAAGATCATTTAAGAAGTGAACATGAGGACTACTTTACCACATGGATCAGTAAATTATTATTTCCATTTGAAGAGAAGAGAAACACACATTCCCATGCTGAAGAGTTAAACAGTTGAACAGGAGGGAAACATTGCCAGACTGCAACTAAGGTACAGTACAATACACAACTGAAACAAAATAAAAACATATTTTCAGCCATTGTAAAGAAGTTTCAAGGAAGATGAAGCATGCAAAGGATGGACTGATATGGTATGATACACTCTGGAGTAGAAGAAAGGGCAAAGATTAAAGATGAAGACACTGAAAGAAGTGATAACAGATTTGCTTCGGAGAGAAGGAACAAGTAAAGGCCAAAGCTAAATACTGTAGTGTTGTTCTAAACTAATAATTTTAAAGTTATGAAGAATGGTAAAAAAAGGAGAGAAAATGTGAAAGCACTGTCAAAGAATGAGGGGTGGTAATGAATGGAACCAAAGCTTTGCTGAGCAGAGCTCACTCTAATGGTCCAAGCAGGGAAGGACTTGCAAATTCTTGTGCCCCATAAGCCAGAGAATATGGCTGGGGGGGCTACTGTATTATAAATGCTCATAATATTGATTTGTTATTGAATAAGAACAACGGAGAGAAACACAATGGGGGTTTGTGTGCTGTGTGTAAGAGGGAAACATAACAGAATGCAAGAATACCACCCAAGCCTCGGGCTCGTTAGAAAGGTACCTGTACATCCTACACCTGAAGAGCTGCAAGCTTTACGGGGCACAGACATGTGAAGGAAGAGAGAGTACCATTGGTGCAAGGTGCAAGGAATAAAGGTGTGGAGGAGGAGAAATATCCTACACATTCAAATCACTACAGTATTGACATTTGCCATCATCAAAAATAATACCAACTATTTTGGGGACTTACAGTATTAAGCCTTCATTAATAGTACGTTATGTACATTTTAAAAAATCATGAGGAATATCTCAATGCTAATCATATCAAAGTATTTATTTATTTATTTAGCTTTTAATTATGCAAAGTAATGTGGCAAAATTGAATAGTACTTTTGGGAGAGAAATGATAAACTTGAAGTCAAACTAATTTACAATATAAAATATTATGTTAGAACTATTTCCTGATACAGCACAATATTACATATAAAATATTTATAATATTACTACGATTCCCTTGAAATAAAATAATATGTAACTGCTAAGAGTACTACTTAAGAAAATCTAATGTACAGTACAGAATTCATTTACTAACACAGTACTCTTAAATATAAAATTATTGGAATTGCATTTTTGTAATTTGATTACATTCTTACATCATTGTGCCTGCGCATCCTGCAATGTCTCTATTGTTCAAAGATAATCCCCCATGAAGAAACCAATAGCAATATTTATTCTCATCAACATCACTTGTTAGTACTGTATGTACAAATGTCTGTACAAATACATACAAATGCATGTCAGTACAAATGTACTTTTTACAGTAGGCCGCTCACGTAGAACAGAGGATGCAAAACAAAATTTTATCATGTACCAAATATGCCTTACATACAGGGGGCACCTTGAGGAACACAGTTGAAATTGTGAAATGTTTGGGAGGAGCCATGGTGCAATAAAATGTAATCCCAAAGTAAAAAACAAAATAAAAAAATACATGAAAAACCTACTGTATTTAAAAGATATCATGATGAAAGATAATATAGTAATTCAAAACATGTTTAAGCACACATCCACAGCAATTCACGCTACATAAGTAGTTAAACTTGCATTAGGATTAAATGATTCTGTCAGAATTCGGGTGCATCACAAAATTTGTGCTGTATGAGTTTGTGCTGCCTAAAGGTCTAGTGCAGATAACAACACTAGACTAGGAAATGTAGATGTTTATCTCTCAGAATGCTTGGTAATATGTTTATTGTTTGTGATGTGTTTATATGTATGTATTAACACGATGTACTGAACAGGGTGAGAATAGCTTGAGCTACCTCATCCCCTTTGTGTGTACTTTACCTCAATAAACTTATTTCAATTTCAATTTCAACACTAGACTGGGGGAGGGGTTGGGGGCTGGGAAGTGGCAATTGGAATAGGGTTGCCAGGCCTTGGCCATTTAAGCTATAAATTTGTTGTTGAATTTAGCACACATTCAGTGGATCCACAATTCTAAAGTTACATATAATTTCTATAGGACCTGAACTGCTCTTTAATCATATGCATTCATTCTAAAACAAAATTAATTATACTGTATATATACTTCATTCTTTTTTCTTGCAATGTATCTTATCATTTTATTAATTCTGCTAGAATTTACCTACTTAAAATTATCTGTTAGATTAAGGACCTGCCCGAAATGCTGCGCATACTAGTGGCTTTACAAGATTGTAAATACTATGCTATGTATTCTCTCTAACCCAATGTACCTTCTTGTATATAAATAAATAAATAAATAAAGTATACAGTACACAAACCAGCAGGTCATCTAAATGCTTCCTTCACCAAGAACTTTCTATTTCTTTATTTAGAACTTTCTATTTCTGTAGATGTTAACAACTACAGACCTATATCAATCCTGCCAAACTTGTCAAAAATTTTTGAAAAACTTATATACAAGCAGCTTTACTCATATCTAGCCAAACTCAATATACTTAGCCCTTGCCAATATGGCTTCAGACCCAAAAAAAGCACTAACGATGCACTTATTAGTATGCTTAACTCGATTCATACAGCTCTTGATAAAAAGGAGCTCCCTGTTGGGTTATTTGTGGACCTGCGTAAAGCTTTTGATACTGTCAACCACCATAACCTTCTTCTTAAATTACATCATTATGGAGTCAGAGGACACTCCCTACAATACCTCGAGTCCTACCTTACTGACAGGCTCCAATATGTTTCTGTGAATAATACAATTTCTCCCACCCTACCCATCAACATTGGTGTTCCTCAGGGCAGCATACTTGGCCCTCTCCTCTTTCTCATCTACATTAATGACCTTCCAAATGCCTCCCAACACCTCAAACCAATTCTATTTGCTGACGACACAACCTTCATTTACTCCAGTCCTGACCCTCTTGCTCTAAATGCCACAGTAAATACTGAGCTAAATAAAGTCCATCTTTGGCTAACTGCCAACAAACTCACCCTTAACATTGACAAAACCTTCTATATTCTGTTTGGCAATAAATCCTCTAGTCTTATAAATCTCAAAATAAACAATACCCAAATTTGTAACAAATTAGATGGCAAATTCCTTGGCATTCTCATTGACCACAAGCTGAATTTCCAGGGACACATTCTAAATATATCAAAAAAAGTTTCAAAAACTGTGGGCATTCTTTCTAAGATCAGATATTATGTACCACGCCCTGCTCTGGTGACTCTCTATTACTCCCTTATCTATCCTTATCTCAACTATGGTATTTGTGCTTGGGGTTCTACTACCCAAAATCACTTACGTCCTCTAATTACCCAACACAAAGCCGCTATTAGAACAATATCCAACTCTGGCCCCAGACATCACTCGGTACCCCTACTCAAATCTCTTAATATGTTAGATATTAAGTCACTGCACATTCTCTCATGTGTATTATACATATATAAAACGCTAAACTATAATGCCAATCCTGATCTTAAAAGCTTCATAGAAGGTTGTAACAGAACCCATGAGCACCACACCAGAAATAAATACAGTTTTGATATTCCTAGAGTACGTCTTAATCAAACTAGAAATGCTCTGCAAATCAAGGGGCCCAGAATGTGGAATGACCTTCCCAACCATGTTAAAGACTGTACCTCTCTCAACCAGTTTAAGATAAAAACTAAACACTACCTAATAAATTCCCTGTAATCTACCTCACTCCTCTATTGTCAACCCATGTCTGTTATTTTTTTTTTTTTTTTTTTTTTTTTTTCTTTTTTTTTAATCAACACTGTTTGTCAACCTATTGTATTTGTGCTGCTATTTCAGTCATGTTCCCCCTTTTTTTTTATCTTTATTTGTATTTGTTCTCAACATCTTTTATTCTTTATGCTCAATTAGTATTAAGTTCTTGATATTAATGTTTTTCTTGCCCGAAACGCATTGCGTAATAGTGGCTTTAGGCATTGTATGTACTAGCTCTATCTATATATCAATCCATTAATGTAACATCACTTGTATGTATATACCTTACCTGAATAAACATCTGAATCTGAAATCTGAATCTATTTCTCCCACACTGACGTACCCTATTATATTTAGAGTTCATAGCAGGAGGTTGTGACTGTGCCAAAAATTCTATAACTACAGAAGAAAACATGAATTTATATATCTAATTAGGAAGTCAGAGAATGAAAAATGTAGAGCTAAGATGACTGGCTTATTATGATATACTGTAATGTAATGAAATTAGTAATCAACCCCCCTTCCCCCCCTCTCCACCCCAAAAAAGGTAAAAAAATAAAAAATAAAAAATAAACATATAAATACATATAAGTACATAAAGACATTATGGAGTGTGGTTGAATCATTCACAAGTATTTCAACAAATCTTGTTTTTTTCTGTCAAAACCATATATATATATTATTAGGCTAGGATATATTAGCTTTGGTTAGGCTCTGTTAAATAAGGCTAGGGTGGTTTGGGTTTGGTTAGATAGGTTTTAAAACTTGTTAGTAAATGGTCTTGTGTACAATATAACTTGTATCCAAGATAATGTTGTAACTAAACAGAGAATAAGGTTAAAATTACCAACTAGTGAATGCATATTCTTCATTGATGTATACTATCTTCTAAACTATTTTCCCATTGTCAAATCAGAACATCGAATTTTATTATTACTATTGACTTAGGTGCCACGACAGTGAAGTTATCGAACAATGAAGTCAATATTCTGGTTCAACTTTGACAAGTGGATGTCTGGACACCTACTCCACCCTGGAGGCCGGCGGATCACACGACACGATTTTACCTATTTGGTCTCAATATTGCTGTCAGCCATTCCTATTCAACTGTCTAGATTGTTAAGATGCCTGGCTCAATTATCGTCTGGGGTCACAGGGAAGTCGATGGATTTTAAACATTTTCTGGTTGATTTTTCAGGTAGAGAGACAGTATTTGGCACCAGCTTGGCTGAGAGGAGCCAGGAGTTGGTGGGTCTTGGTGGGTTCCTGGTACATCCTTACGATATAGTGGGTGGCGGACTTCTGCTCTTTTGGAGGGCACTGGAAGACCATTTTGCATTTTTGCCCATTTAGGTACGAGTTGAAGAGGTAATTTTATGCCTCGGCTATCCTGTGGTCTCTGTGTAGGATGGGGGGGGCTGGTGCTTGCCTCCCTGAGGGACTCCTAGTGCTCCCTAATGATCTGCCCATCAGTGTCTTTATTCATCGAAATGTGCATTAGGTTCCACTAACATGACATTCACTTAGCCATACAGATTTGTGATTGGCCCTTCAAGGGTACACAGAGGCACACATGGCACCACTGCCGTCGCGGCCCCAAATTCCACAACAATGAAGTCAACCTAATAGTTGACATTTTTGTTAATTTCTTAGCACAGAAAATTTAAATAAATCATGCAGTAAGAGTCTGAGTGAAATTCCTGCTGGAAATATGCCATTATAAAGTGGTATCCATAAAAACAATATATTAAAGAGCTGTATAGACTCGGGATACAGTACATCTATCAAAGAGATGCTAATCACAAAAAACAACATTCATTTGACAACAGTTCACTCGCTGTGTTAACCTATCTGGCTCTAAGTAGCCAGTAGAGTGTTACCTCGTAGACACGCGTAGCTCACCAAGATAGAGGCTGGTGGTGCCCCACATCAGAGCGGGGGTAAAGAGTCCATGCCAGCAGGGGCCAGCAGAGCTGAGGAATCAATCCTTGCCCAGGGACGCTCTGTTGACGCTCACTTAGGGCGCTTACAACCCATCATTTCCCTCCGTTTTCTTCCACCCTACGCCATCCCCGTTTTTTTTTAACTTTTTTATTTTTTTGAGATATATACAAGAGTTATTACATTCTTGTACAGCCACTAGTACGCGTAGCGTTTCGGGCAGGTCCCTAGAATACGATCCCCGCCGAGAAGAATCGTTTTTACAACCAAGTACTCATTCTACTGTTGAGTTAAACAGAGGCTACAGTTAAGGATTTGCGCCCAATTCAACTCCTTCAATTACATTCTAAAAACAACTTGCTTAATTAAATGAATTGTGGGGTTCAGTCCCTGAGCCCATTATGCAAGCCTTTCCACTGCCGCCCACAAGATGGGTATGGGGTGCATAATAAATGAACTTAACTAACTTTGAAAACAATTTACCCTTATGTTCTATTCCACTCCATTATATCTTAAATTACTACAGAATGGTAAAATTCGTGAGTGAATGCCCATATATAATTAAAATTGAAATTGAAATAAGTTTATTGATGTACACATATATAATAATTTTAAGCCGTGTGAATAGAAATAGCCAGTAATTAGCTAACTGTATGTAATTACCTAGGTGTAGTTACAGATGAAAGCAACGCTCGTGGTGTCCCATCTTCCCAGTACTCTTTGTCAAATAATTTGTATCTTTTTTTCTGATTTTCGCATTATTTTTTTAATTACTGCTGTGGGAACAGAGACTAATAGTAATGGATTCGCACCTAGTCAATACTCCCTGGTCAGGATACGAACCCAGGATCCAGAACCCAGAACAAATCATTTGCAAATGGACTATAGACACCACACCATGCCTCCATTTTCAAATTAGATATTTTCAAAATATCCGACATTTCAGATATTTTGAAAACTGCAGGGGGGGTTTGGGCAAAATATGACCCATCGCTGTTTTCAGTAATTAGCATATTTTCGGTATAAAAGATCGTAATTTGAAAATGAAAATAGGTGCAGAGTCAGAATTCGGCTAAAAAATCACGCTCAGGAGTCAACTTTTCGGATATTTTGAAAACTGCAGGGGGGTTTGGGCAAAATATGACCCATCGCAGTTTTTAGTAATTAGCATATTTTCGGTATAAAAGATCGTAATTTGAAAATGAAAATAGGTGCAGAGTCAGAATTCGGCTCAAAAATCACGCCCAGGAGTCAAATTTCCGACATTTCAGATATTTTGAAAACTGCAGGGGGGTTTGGCCAAAGTATGACCCATCGCCGTTTTCAGTAATTAGCATATTTTCGGTATAAAAGATATTGTTGTAGTGTAGTCAAGTTATACATGTATTTATGCTGTTGTAAATTATACAAGTTATACCTGCTTCATTAACATGGTCTGCAAAAATTATTTATTTGTTTCTACTATTAATTAAATAAATAGGTCCCCATGCTGTTGGTGTCTTATTCCTCCTAGATCAGAAATAATAATTCACACACGTTTTGCCTTATTTGTATGCATGTGTGTATGTGCTTCTTATTTGTATGCATGTGTGTATGTGCTTATTATTTGTGTGCATGTGCGCTAATGGTGGTGGTGTGTTGCTACAGTGAATTGAGTCTTACCATGAGGTAATGGTAAGACTTGTATTAAACCACTTGTTTTTCAGTCTACAGGAAACATACCCAGAGAAGTGACCTCATCAACTGCAGGCAGGTAGTGTATGTTTTCAGTCTACAATATTAACATGCCTCAAATTCAAGAACTGAATCATGGTGGTTTTTAACAGAGCAATTCACATTGTTAGTGGAATATTAGTAAGTTTACTTGCATATATTATAGAATTAGTTTGGATCATTTCTGGTATGCATTAGTTTTTGTTGGTGTTATTTACAGCAAGAGGTCTATAGCCACTATCGATAGCAAAAGTAATGAACTGGGTTACTATAACCAATGGGTTCAGGAAATGAAACCAAACATTCTTTTCACTAATGAGAATACAATGATAGCAAATATTACAGATTAAGATGCAGTGTTAAAATTTTATATTGTGCAGTATTTCAAATTAAAATGTTGGGAAAATTGTACAGATTTTGGCCAATATGTCACCTTGTATTAATTTCCCCAGTTGATAGTGTGTCGACCTCATATGCATGTGATCCACGGTTCGAGAACTATATAGCCCAGGTGAATGAAATGTTTATTTCCACGGAAGTGTGGATGACAATTTATACTCGAGAAACCTATTACAGTAAAAGTGACTACCTCATACTCTGGTCAAATGTGTTATTCACAGCAGTGACTGACATCATACCCTTCTCCTTCGACCTTCAGAAATGTGGCTCTTTGTTAGAGAGCCAGTCCTAGCCCGAGGGAAAATTTTGCTCTTCTAAATGTAACCATTTGCTCTTTTGTTACCCTGGCTAGTAGTAGTCATATCACACTATATACATCTTGATACTATAGCAGATTAAATACATCATGACTATTCACAACTGATAAACTATGACAGTCCTGATACTACATCAGCACCTAGGTTCTCACTGTCATTTTATTAATACAATACTGTACATAAACTAAACCAATAACATAGTACTGTATACGATGCTCTAAAATATTCCAATACTAACTTAAAGCAGACATATCCCATTATTTTAGATGGTAATAGGAATGTCTTTATGACTCTGGGGGAAAATATAAATGAGCACAAAGATGCTCTTAAGACACTACATAGTGACAAAATTCTACCGAGAATTAGCAAAGTATACAAAGATTCAAATGTGGTGCCGATACAATTGTGAGAAGCCTCTGCGATGTGTCCCACCCTCTCCTGTATTTCTTTGAATTTAGCGGCAGCTAGGAAGATTGGTGTAATGTGAATCCACTGTGGGACTAAGAATGTACTGTTGTTTGTCATGTGTACCAACAGTGGCGCCTTGATTAATGAATTTAATCCGTTCCGGCACCGAGCTCGTCATGTGAAACACTCGTCTTGCGAAACGACAACAATACTGTCGTCGGAGACATCCGAGAACCGGCGAGAACGCTAGGAAGAACCATGTGGTTTGCTCGTTAATCGAGACAAATTTTCTGCAAGTGACTCGCTCGTTACTCGAAATGCTGTAACTGGAGTCGCTCGTCACTCAAGGTTCCACTCGACACTATTTGGAAACATTTTGTGGTAAATGAATCATTATTAGTATGAAGTAATACCTTTTGTATTTAAGATGCAACACAAAATTAGTACTTTGTATCCATCTTGTCCAAATCATTCAAATTTACATGAAGTACTTATCAAAAGAAGGCACCAGGCCAGGGGGGGAGGGGGTTCTATGTAGCAGAATTTACATCAAATTGTTTCCATTTCCATCACACTTCCTCTTGGACTCGCTGCCTATTAACCTGTTGTTAAGCACCCTGAATAACATTTAGATACAAGATATAATTGACGTCTAAGACACTTATCGCTTAACAATGAAAGGCACTATGGTATTACACAAGGATTCAACATTTATTGTTTTATATAAAAAAGAACACTACATAATTAAATGTTTATTTATACATTTTAAATACAAAATCAAATTTTTTTGCAGAATATACTTAAACTACTTTGACTAAGTTATCACAGCTCAAATGGTAATGTTTAATAAAATATAGTAAATAAACATACAGCATAGTGCAAAATGTAGGCCCTAATCTCACTTTATGCAAGACTATATGTTCTTGAGATTATAACATACTTCTTCACGAACCTTTAACTATAATTATATTTCACAACCATTTACACAATACATACTTGAATAGCAATAGAACTTTAGGAATTAAACTAAATAACTTCAATGAAATTTACAGCACATTTACATTTGCAAACCCTTCAAGGTCCATATTACTGGCACAGTAATATTTATTGTGATGTGTTAGACCGTAAGACAATGCTTCTTGTGACCTCGGTTATAAAAAACGACAATAAATTAGTAACTTGATTACAATAATAACACTATTCCTGCAGAATTCACATACTATTTATTCAATGGACTCCCCAATAGAGATTACTAACTAAAAAATTCATAGCTATCTTTTATAATTCAAAAGGCACTAAGGCTGGAAAGTTATTAAATACAGTTCATGGTACAGACCAGCCAGAAAAGTCCTAGATATCATTCAAGAGCAAACTGCCCTGAACTTGAGGGGGACCTCAACAAGACTGACACACTTCCTGTGTGTCACACGCTGTGCATACCTGTACCTAGGATATTTAATAAATCCTCTAGGTAGTCAAGTGGTTTAATGGTTGGGAATCCTATACACACACTAATGTAGTACAATTTTCAAAAGAAACAAATATAATTTGCAATGCATCCATGTAACCTCAGAGTTTCAGGCAAATCCAAATTATCAAAAAGATCAAAACTTGTGCAATTAGCAAGATGCCTCGGCAATTGCACAACATATCTTTAAAATCAAGATGATTTTTCTTGGAAAGAGTTAACTGCACCCCCCTGCTTCCCTCCCATCTACTAAAAGTAAATCACCAGAGTATAATCAAAGCAAATAATTATCAAATGAAAGTGTTTGCCCAACACGGCTATATAACAGCATTGCCAAATTGATACAAAAAATTACTGTACTGTACATTCAAACAACATTAATACAGTACAAAATGGCATAAACAAAAATTTGCAAGGTGCAATACTGTAAATCAACTTGTAACGAGTGTATCTTACTGAAGGAAGCTAGCTTACCAGTATCTCTGCACATCATTATGCAACATGGAATGCTACTTAAGTTGCCGAAACATTTCTTCCACTTTCCAAGCCTTTTACCAAGGCCAACAAGGATCTGGGCACTGACGAGTCCATCCCTGGAGCTCACCTGATCTGACCTCCATTAAGGCAGTATACACAGTCTCCTGGAAAAAAAAGAAGACATTACCTGTATTAAAATTGTTTAACTACTGTACTATGCATTTAACTTTGATTTATTTAGAAATGGTATATGCAGAGCAGACCAAGTAAACAAAAGTGCCTACAAATTTTAGATATTCTTTTACAAAAAAAGAGGGGTAGAGGGATTGAATACACAAACTAGGGGGAAAAAAGTGCCAAAATCATTGGAAATTTTAAAATGTCACGACAGATAACAAGGAAGACAGGACATCCCGAGTATCTCTCGTATCCTGTAACACTACTGAGGCAATTCCACACACAACCCCACCATCCTACTTCACAGCTGTGCACACAAGTTTTCATCTGGTCACTGACCTGTTCAAGTGCACAATTATTCGACCAAAGAATTGAAATTAAAATTGATCATTACCGAACAGTCTTTGTGTAATAATCACAAGTATAATCCTGTGTTTGATTACTGTTGACCTCATTATATGACCTAACAATCTACAGCTGACCTGGCTCCATACTACAATGCAGAACAATACATGTATATACTACCTTATTCAAAACAGGTTTTGTTGACAGGACATTATAAATGAGACTCAGCGATGCATTGATTTGTCCATTCTCTGTCATACATTGGATTGCTGGTGTTCTGCGATCATCAAAAAATGGAGGGTTTTTCCAGTGGTCGTAATTTGTCTGGACAAGGAACCAAGATCCAGATCCAGTTTTCTCTGATCCAAGAGTTACGAGATCAGCATTATCTCTATCACGTGTGATGATGCATCCCTGAAATTTTAAACACAGTATATACATAGCAATAAAGATTCAGCAAAGTAAAGCTTCAATCAAAACACACACACTCAAAAACTCACTCTTAAATTTGAAGACAAGAAAATATTTGGACAACGAGCAAAAAATATTACATGGGTGGAGAAAGTTTTAAAAGGTTGACTCTTTATTGTGCCCCCCCAAACTGAACGAGTGCACATTATTTACAAGAAATGCTGATAAAAAATAAAGCTGAAAATAAATTTTTAGAATGGAATAATCTTCATGTGAAAGGTGTGTGTTCCAAAATAGCTGCTAGTTTAATGGGTGCATTTGGATAAGGGTCCTGGTAGTACATTCGCGTTCGTTCTCGACGCACAACTGAGATTCCCAGGCTGGACAGAAATGGTTGGGCACATTTCCTTTCACCTAATGCCTCTGTTCACCTAGCAGTGAGTAGGTACTCACTCAGGAGTTAGTCAGCTTGTTGTGGGGTTGCATTCTGGGTGGGATTAGTAATTCGGTCTTGTGGGGGAGGAGGACCTCAATAAAGGCCAAACATATGAACACACTCTGGCTGCCTGTCCCTCGACAGTGAATTATTATAATTATTATTTGATAAAATTTGTAAAGACATGACACCATGAGCATAGCTCTCCCATCCTGTAACTACAACTACATCCTGTAAGTAATTTTTGGAAATTCAACACGATTGTAAATAAATATATGTACACAAGTGTCCCGGTAGTACAATCAGATTGATGCTCGACTCACAATTGGGAATTCTCGGTTCGAATGCCGGCCGAAGCAAAAATAGCTGGGCATGTTTCCCCATCACTTAATGCCCCTGTTCACCTACAAGTCAATAGGCACCCAGGAGTTAGTCTGCTTGTTGTGGGGTCGCATCCTGGGAAAGGTTAGCAATTTGATCTGGGGACAGGGGGTGGGGTGGGGTGGGGTGGAGACCTGATATAAGCCTAACACACATACGTGTATATACACACTGGCTGGTTGTTCCCTGACAAAATGAATTACTATTATTATAATGAACATACTTTTAAAAAAATATATATAGCATATTGTGTGCACACACGTATACACAAGTATATGTTCACACTTCCATTTTCCATTAAATCGGTTTAAACATCACTCTGACCCCATACTCATCCAGACTTGTACATCTTCCTTGCAAGCCAACAATTACTCATCCTCTAGAGATTTGAAAACAGCCCTTAGTCACAATATTATGTATAATAAACTCTAATTCTAGCTTGGCATTTCTTTCTCTAATATTGTTATCTCTTTGCACACTACACACACAGCCATCTCTAAATATCCATACATTCCCACAACTTGCTGTGCAATCCCAAATCGTCACTTATTCTCGCATCGAATGGGCTTCTCTACCACTTATTTCTCCCTACTTGTGCATGCAACAAGCATATCTTTACACATTTAGAATATTTTAAAATTAATTTCCCTAACACGATAAAACTGACCTTGCAGAAATCAAGGAACATTCAAGCTTGCTTGGAAAAATTCATGTCTAAGGCGTGGACTTTAACGACCCTTTTTAACTTCTTAAGCAGACTTAAGACAGTCTTCTTGGAAGACTGTCTTCCAAGACAACATTCAAATCATCTGGTCTAAAGAATGAATGGAAGATATGATGTATAGTATTCACCATACTGTTGACTGGAATGTATTTAATATTTCCTGATGGGAAATGTTTTGTCACATACCTCTCCTGGTTGTGCACCACCGAGTATGAAGTAAACGGGAGCCATGAGTCTCGTCTTCATTAGCTTCGTCTGTGCTTCCTTGTAGCTACTAGCCACCTCAAGGACTTCACGTGTCAAGAATGACACCCAGCTGAGAATTATTGTATAACATATTATAAGCATAAAACTTACAAATACTTATATTACAATACAGTATATTTATATTTAATACCTTTCTTATAATATAAAATAATTTAAGAATATGCCTTTTATTTTGTGAATACACTGTATTACATTTTTGGTCACCCCCCCCCAAAAAAAAAGGCAGCATACATTATTTAAATAATACAATCAGATGGATTAGAGTGATTAGTGATTCCCTAAATTTCTTCCCACTTCCACAACCTATGAAAGTGAGAAATGGAGTCAAAGCAATGAATGCACAAGTCCAGACTGCTAACTACCACATACCTCTGCTCATGATCATCAAAGAGAATCCACTCCAGCAGCCCCATGAATCCTCCATTCAGAGCAAATCGTTTGTCCAGGGAGAATGTAAACTTGTCCTATTTATGAACAAACAAAACACTTGTACAGTATATATAGTAGTAGTACTATAATGAGAAAGAATACCAATCAATAAAGCAATTATAATGACCATGATAACATTGTTGGCAAGAACTTTCTTTGGCCTCCAATTAGTCAAAAGTGGTAAAAAAGTGGTGTTCAGTACGCACCTCTTTAACAGCTGTCAACACACCAACATACCCAGCAAAGCTCAGAGAACGGAAGAGTGTCGTTCCATTTTTCTTCCAGTTCAACTGAACTGTTAGTGGTTTCAGCTTCTCGGCAACTTTCCAGGTGTGGTTCTTTTTATCCCATCTAGAAAGTAAAAGGACACCATTGAAGATTGACTCTCATTTATAGTTTCTCCAATTCAGTTTCAACCCTCATTTTCATTCCAATTGCAAAAACCATAGATCCTTTTAACCTCTACACACATTCTGTGAAACTTCTTAAACATCAAAGCATGTTACATTCAAGCTATTTTATCAGGTAACAGATTGGGCAACATGATTCCTAGTGCACCATGTAAATACAACACATTCGTGTGGACTGTTCCTGATAACACTCATTCACTAATGCCATCACACAAAGCATATTGTCACAATTCACATTTACATTTTACACACACACATACACAGGTTGAAGCAGTTGAAAAACCAGACTTCAGGAGAGGACATTATGGTGACCTTAGAAATTTTTTTAGTGAGTATAATTGGACAGACTTGATGCTAGGCAAGGAAGTGAATGAGATGTATGGCAAGTTTTGTGAAATATATGATAAAGGCACAAAAAAATTTATACCAAAACAGAGATGCAGGACCAGAAAACAGGATTGGTTCGACAGAAATTGTGAGAGGGCAAGAGACCAAAAGACACAAAAATGGAATCAGTATAGGAAGAGGCCAAACCCCCAAACATACCAGCGATACAAAGATGCGAGAAACAATTATACAGCAGTAAGGAGAGAGGCAGAAAGAAATTTTGAAAAAGGGATAGCAGATAAATGTAAAACAGAACCGGGCCTATTCTACAAATTCATAAACAACAAATTGCAGGTAAAGGATAATATCCAGAGGTTGGAAATGGGAAACAGATTCACGGAAAATGAAAAGGAAATGTGTGAAACATTAAATGAAAAGTTCCAAAGTGTGTTTGTACAAAATGAAATCTTCAGAGAACCAGACACAATAAGAATTCCAGAGAACAACATAGAGCAGATAGAGGTGTCTAGAGATGAAGTGGAAAATATGCTAAAGGAGCTCGGGAGGAACAAAGCAGCTGGCCCAGATGGCGTTTCACCATGGGTTCTGAGAGAATGTGCATCTGAGCTCAGCATTCCACTTCACCTGATCTTTCAGGCATCCCTGTGTACAGGAATCGTAGCAGACGTGTGGAAACAGGCTAACATAGTTCCAATCTACAAAAGTGGCAGCAGGGAAGACCCCCTCAATTATAGACCTGTATCATTGACAAGTGTAATAGTGAAAGTATTGGAAAAGCTAATCAAAACTAAATGGGTAGAACACCTGGAGAGAAATGATATAATATCAGACAGACAGTATGGTTTTCGATCAGGAAGATCCTGTGTATCGAATTTACTCAGTTTCTATGATCGGGCCACAGAGATATTACAGGAAAGAGATGGTTGGGTTGACTGCATCTATCTGGACCTAAAAAAGGCTTTCGACAGAGTTCCACATAAGAGGTTGTTCTGGAAACTGGAAAATATTGGAGGGGTGACAGGTAAGCTTCTATCATGGATGAAAAATTTTCTGACTGATAGAAAAATGAGGGCAGTAATCAGAGGCAATGTATCGGAATGGAGAAATGTCACAAGTGGAGTACCACAGGGTTCAGTTCTTGCACCAGTGATGTTTATTGTGTACATAAATGATCTACCAGTTGGTATACAGAATTATATGAACATGTTTGCTGATGATGCTAAGATAATAGGAAGGATAAGAAATTTAGATGATTGTCATGCCCTTCAAGAAGACCTGGACAAAATAAGTATATGGAGCACCACTTGGCAAATGGAATTTAATGTTAATAAATGTCATGTTATGGAATGTGGAATAGGAGAACATAGACCCCACACAACCTATATATTATGTGAGAAATCTTTAAAGAATTCTGATAAAGAAAGAGATCTAGGAGTGGTTCTAGATAGAAAACTATCACCTGAGGACCACATTAAGAATATTGTGCAAGGAGCCTATGCAATGCTTTCTAACTTCAGAATTGCATTTAAATACATGGATGGCGATATACTAAAGAAATTGTTCATGTTTTTTGTTAGGCCAAAGCTAGAATATGCAGCTGTTGTGTGGTGCCCATATCTTAAGAAGCACATCAACAAACTGGAAAAGGTGCAAAGACATGCTACTAAGTGGCTCCCAGAACTGAAGGGCAAGAGCTACGAGGAGAGGTTAGAAGCATTAAATATGCCAAAACTAGAAGACAGAAGAAAAAGAGGTGATATGATCACTACGTACAAAATAGTAACAGGAATTGATAAAATCGACAGGGAAGACTTCCTGAGACCTGGAACTTCAAGAACAAGAGGCCATAGATTTAAACTAGCTAAACACAGATGCCGAAGAAATATAAGAAAATTCACCTTCGCAAATAGAGTGGGCTAACATAGTTCCAATCTACAAAAGTGGCAGCAGGGAAGACCCCCCCAATTATAGACCTGTATCATTGACAAGTGTAATAGTGAAAGTATTGGAAAAACTAATCAAAACTAAATGGGTAGAACACCTAGAGAGAAATGATATAATATCAGACAGACAGTATGGTTTTCGATCTGGAAGATCCTGTGTATCGAATTTACTCAGTTTCTATGATCGAGCCACAGAGATATTACAGGAAAGAGATGGTTGGGTTGACTGCATCTATCTGGACCTAAAAAAGGCTTTCGACAGAGTTCCACATAAGAGGTTGTTCTGGAAACTGGAAAATATTGGAGGGGTGACAGGTAAGCTTCTATCATGGATGAAAAATTTTCTGACTGATAGAAAAATGAGGGCAGTAATCAGAGGCAATGTATCAGAATGGAGAAATGTCACAAGTGGAGTACCACAGGGTTCAGTTCTTGCACCAGTGATGTTTATTGTGTACATAAATGATCTACCAGTTGGTATACAGAATTATATGAACATGTTTGCTGATGATGCTAAGATAATAGGAAGGATAAGAAATTTAGATGACTGTCATGCCCTTCAAGTAGACCTGGACAAAATAAGTATATGGAGCACCACTTGGCAAATGGAATTTAATGTTAATAAATGTCATGTTATGGAATGTGGAATAGGAGAACATAGACCCCACACAACCTATATATTATGTGAGAAATCTTTAAAGAATTCTGATAAAGAAAGAGATCTAGGAGTGGTTCTAGATAGAAAACTATCACCTGAGGACCACATAAAGAATATTGTGCAAGGAGCCTATGCTATGCTTTCTAACTTCAGAATTGCATTTAAATACATGGATGGCGATATACTAAAGAAATTGTTCATGACTTTTGTTAGGCCAAAGCTAGAATATGCAGCTGTTGTGTGGTGCCCATATCTTAAGAAGCACATCAACAAACTGGAAAAGGTGCAAAGACATGCTACTAAGTGGCTCCCAGAACTGAAGGGCAAGAGCTACGAGGAGAGGTTAGAAGCATTAAATATGCCAAAACTAGAAGACAGAAGAAAAAGAGGTGATATGATCACTACATACAAAATAGTTACAGGAATTGATAAAATCGACAGGGAAGACTTCCTGAGACCTGGAATTTCAAGAACAAGAGGTCATAGATTTAAACTAGCTAAACACAGATGCCGAAGAAATATAAGAAAATTCACCTTTGCAAATAGAGTGGTAGACGGTTGGAACAAGTTAAGTGAGAAGGTGGTGGAGGCCAAGACCGTCAGTAGTTTCAAAGCGTTATATGACAAAGAGTGCTGGGAAGACGGGACACCACGAGCGTAGCTCTCATCCTGTAACTACACTTAGGTAATTACTTAGGTAATTACACAGGGGTGGACAAAGGTGGACAGGGTGGACAAAGACAAACTCTTCAGCATGGATGGAACACGAACAAGGGGACACAGGTGGAAACTTAGTACCCAAATAAGCCACACAGAGAGATTAGACAGAAATTTTTCAGTGTCAGAGTAGTAAGTAAATGGAATGCACTAGGAAGTGATGTGGTGGAGGCTGACTCCATACACAGTTTCAAATGTAGATATGATAGAGCCCAGTAGGCTCAGGAATCTGTACAACAGTTGAGAGGTGGGACCAAAGAGACAAAGCTCAACCTCCACAAGCACAAATAGGCGAGTACAAATAGGGTGAATACACACACAAGCATCTTTTGAATGCATCATTAGCAGGCATTCATTGCCCCTACACCAGTCATCAATAAAGGTTTCCTCCCTCAATCCTTGCCACCATTCCACTCTTTATTCTCGCTTCCTGTAAGCTTTGTCATCTCTCCGGAACTCGAGACTTTCACAAAATAAGAAACCTCAATCTTCATAACACACTTACAGGCTTCAGCTACCATCTTTCAAGAGACAGTATTTTGTATATAACCACCAGGGATTTGGCTTCAAGTCTGATGCACTAGTGATTAAATTTAGTGCTACGTATAAATTAAAACTGGCAAAATGGAGGTGTATACAAGTATGACATGCACAGGAATGTAACATACATATATATATACTGTACATACATATATACAACAGCAAATTATACAAACCCCAAAAACACTCCAGTATCGAGGTTTCTACCATGATACAAGTATCCACTAGGATCCTGAGCAATAATAGAGGTACACAGTGTGAATGCCTCATAGAAAATGTTGTACATTGTGATGGTGCTCAAAGGTAATTCTGAGAATGTCGAGATGCCTACCAACTCCTCGTAGAAAGGATATGGTAGAGTGGTGGCCACCTAATTAAGCAGAAAAGAAAGTATTATTTATTATCTGTATTTACAAGCAAAATTATATTGCCACCATATACAATACCCGTATATGTAAAAAACCTTACAGTGCTTACTTGATTTGTTGAACTACTGTACAGTATATGGGAATGTGTCACATTCTGAATACAGTACAAGAAAGTTTGGCTTGCCTAGAGACCATAAAACAGGCATTGTCATTCAGCAGTTTCAAGCCCAATTTTAGACCTTATTTCTGTAGATCGTTCTATTGATATTCCACCATTTATCAAGATGACCATTGCATTTAAAATAATCGATTGTTATATTTTTGGAATGTGTAATATTTTAGTTTTTACTATAATAATTTAAGATTAATTACAAAACAGACAGGCAATATGGAGAAGCCTACCATACATGTTTTGTATACACTCAATTTGCCCCCCCACACAATTTACCAAATGATTTCAGTATATAGCACTGCCCCTTGAACAATAAATCCAGACTTAAAAAGTTTTGGCCATCTACTAACTGAAAATTTAGTCAGAAAATTAAAGACCCTTGATAAAAAAAAAAGATGCAATCTTAACTTGAAATATTGGAAACTGCCGATTATTAAACAATTATTTAGCCTAACAAAAAGAATTTAAAGAATACAGTACTTAGATTTAAGTTATTTACCTTTGAGAGATTATTCATGATTATCTTGAATATCGTCTCGCCCACAACTGATTTGATAAGATCCTTGACGTCATCTATCAAAGCCACAAGCTGAAATTTGAAATATTATTTAAATACAATGCATAATTGTCAAGATAATTCATCGTCTTGTAAATGTATGTTACAGAAACAGTAGAACACAATGCCTTATTCTAAGTCTATTGACCACACTTCAGATAATACACCATGCCATAACTGGCCCACTTGCACTGATGAAAAGTATGAACAAACAGAATTACTGTAATTAAATTAATTAAAAGCAAGATCTCTAAACTGAGATGGTACGGTAAAAATAAGCTTGAATTTTAGAAAAGCTTGAATGATGAGTTCAACCATCACTACCTCGACGTTTCTACTTCACTCAACACACGTACCACTAGCACACGATGGTTACTATTATGTACTGCAATCAATAGAATTTGCAACAGCACAATTTTCATCAGATTTAGTAGCTTGTGGCAATAAATTTGCTCCATGTGACAACACAAAGGTTTCTCCACTATGATCACTGTAGATCACACCATAAGGTCAATAAAATCCAGACATTCTTATGAGAATCAGTATTTACCCGAGGGGCCACTCTCTCTCTAATGGCCTCGACAAGGACAGGAATGCGGTGGGTCGTCACAAGTAAATATATATATACAGTACCACTATATACCACTCATTGTTATGTTGTGAATTTTTAATATCCCCCTCTGGTTACCCTCAGGGAAATATGAAAAATATTCTCTCCACCTACTTCTAATCTTCTATTCACCATTTATCATTACTTATTGCATTAAAATACACATTTAATTAATTATTGAAGTATGCTTTGAATACCTGGGGACCCTTATCTGCCATGAGTGGTGCCCAACGTTGGAGCGGAGAAAGGTCCAGATCCACATCGTAAACTGGCACTTCAAAGCTGCCAAGAAAGTGTTGAATTGCAATTTAAATAATATATACAATACTGAACCGTACATGCAATCTTGAAAATATACTAAGTATATACAAGACATTTATTCTTTAACACGGATACTAAATGGATAGAATATAAAGCCATATTAATTCCTTTTGCAAAATGAGCAAAATTACAAATTTCTTTTACTAATACTTTCATGTGTTTAAAAGTGAGATTGCTGATAAAGTTGTGAAAACTTCACATGATTACTATTTGGAATGATTGAATATGGACATACTGTATACTATTAACATATTTAGAATCATATACCACACCCACTACATATATACTAAAGTCATTGATATTAAACATTATATATTCTTGAATAAATAACCCAACCTACACATGTAAAATACAATAATATGAAAGGGATGACATTTTGGTTTGCCATAAACCCTCATCAGGATGGACCTAAAAACTGTCACTTCCATTCCACATGTGGAAGTTTGGTTGGTTATTTCAGCCATGTTATTGTGAGTTTCTCTGCTTACATTCTTGAGCTATAGTAAGTAGCTATAGTTCAGTATTGTTAGGTCTATAATCCAGTCACTGGTTCCCTGTGATTGGGGTTTACCTAGAGCCTCAAGATATGATGTGACAGAATTCACTATAATATAATACTACCGGTATATGAAAAGAATATTGTACCCGATGACCATACCACACATCAGAAAATGAAGAAATGACAATGTTTCGGTCCATACTGGACCATTATCAAGTCGAGTGATGACTGGATAATGGTCCGGAACAGACCGAATCTTTGTCCATTCTTCATTTGTGTGGTTTGGTCATCATTTCTTCAGCCACGTTACTGTGACTCATTTCTGAACATTGGACCTTGTATGATATGACATTCAATCTAATAGTTACTGTAGGTCATTAAAGCTATAAAACTGAATAGTGGTTACACTCACTGTTTATCTGGAGGATATGCACCACTTTCACAACCCTGAAACTAATAATTATTATTATTATTATTAAATATTCATTACCAGAATGAAATACATATAATTACTGCAACAATCATGAATTATATTTACACAAACTAAAACAGCAAGACATGGCTATACGAGCGTATCGTTCGAGTTACGATAAATGGCTACAACCAATGACCAATGATAATGTGTTCATAAAAAATTTCAGTTCAGGAGAGCAAAGGATAGTAACATCGTGTTGAGAAACAAAGCAAGACAAGAGGACCTAAGTGGGAGCTAAAAATGGAAAAAAAAAAAAAGGGAATGTAAGTAAATACTGTACCCTTACCTTATACAGTTGCTCAACAAGTGGAATGCACTGCAAAAAAAGATATGGAAGCCATCTACATTCGCAACTTTAAGGCCAGATTCAATGAAGAATTAGAACATCATATAATAGTTAAACTGTAAGAGTTACAACAACGCCGCTAGGCAGAACCTAAATGTAGGACCTCGCTTCCCCTGTAGTCGCCAACTGGCAAGTACCAAAACATCGTACACAAGTTAATTCATCAAAGGATTTCAAAAGCTACCTCGCTTACTACCCCAATGAAAAATCATTGGAGCCTAACACAGCAAAACCTAAGATAATACACCCTAACCTGTGAAGAGGGCCACACATGCTTTCCAGACACCTTGGGACCGAGACTGAACGAATCTCCCGTTGTGTCTGGATGAGTGGTTCGTCATCCAGAAAAGCGAGTGGGCGGAAAACAATTAACAATTTTGTTGCAGAAATTTTACCGAATTTTGTTTGTACTCACCAACATGAGAAGTTTCTGATCTACTTGTTAACTTTAAGATTATAGTTGATGGGGCATTGTTATTTAGAAAAGGTGGTGGTGGATGATATTATTGGGTTGACTGATGAATGGTGATGAGGTAACCTTAGCAGGCTGCCGTTCACCATGTACTCTAGTGTACCTAATGCCATGGCAGAGTTGAAAGCTTCCCAGCCATCCATTGTCTATGTGGAGGCTCATTGTGCAGGGGACCCAGTGGATGGAAATGTCATATCTTTCCGAATGAAATTCATGGAGAAGTTGAAGACAAAGGTAGACAAGCTCTTTACATGTTTCAGTGTAGAATTATATATTTAAATATGTACGTATGTTTCTGCCCGAAATGCTATGCCTCTTAGTAGCTTTACAGGAATGTAAGAACACCAATGTAATGTTCTTTCACAACCAATGCACCTTCTTGTTTATAAATAAATAAAATAGCATGAAATCACATTTTTGGAGTTGCTGCAAAGTGTGCATTTCCAAACTAGTTGTATTACGAGTATATGAAAAGAGCTTGCTACAAAATATATAATTCAACAGCCAATATAGACAGTTGGGATCAGTAGTTCTAATTCAGTGGGACTTCGAGACATGCCAATGGGACATTACCAATTAAATCGAACATCTCTGAAGTCCTTCTTACATCCCCCCAAAAATATATAGCAACTTGAACCACCTGTTGTTGAGCTCCAACACACACACATATACTCACCTGCTGGGCCAGGGTGGGGGTGGTGGTGGAGAGCAGCAAACAGGCCACAAGGGCCAGGTATGGGGCCCAGAGGTCCATGATGAGCGTGTGGTGTGTGTGGTGTGGAGAACTGTTGTCACCACTCAGCTGGTAGCGACTCAGCTGGTCGCCGCTATCAGCTGGTGAGAGTCACGTGGTCAGTCCCCGCCCCCAAGCCCGCCAGCTTTGAATTCTTGAACGATGAGCCAACTTCCATCTTCATCACCTGGCCATCTCTATATATTGTAATAAGGGGTACCATCTCTGATTGCGTTTGTAGGGACCCTGGACCTCGAAGAAGACGATATGTAGCATCCAAGGGGAACCTTGTGAGGCACCCGTGTACACTCACATATTGTCTTCTACCACCCCCCCCCCCATCCTATATTTTTGTGTTTTGTTATTTTATTTAATTTAAAATTGCATTACACAAAAAGGGTTACAACATTGGTTACATGCAAGGTACAAGGCTACTTATCACATGTTGTAGGGTTTCCTCCAGCTCCTCAGATGGTAGGCAGGAACCATGGATGCAGTGTGCATTTCCTCTCTGGATCGCCACACTAAGGCGCTGAATGAGGAAACTGGCCTCTCTAGGGTCTCTAGTTGTTTCAATGAGCTTAGAATCCAGCTCCTTCAAAACACTAGCAGCACTTTTACCCCAGGCATCCAGTGTCTCTGAGGTAATGGGACAAAACTATGCTCTAGTGCATAATTTATTCGCCTGTCCTAGTGTATAGTTTATACAACTGCTGTCCTTGTGTATAGGTTATACAACTGCTGTCCTAGTTTATAATGTATACATCTGTCCCAGCGTATAAATTATACAACTACTGTCCTAATGTATAGTTTACACAACTGCTGCCCTAGTGTATAATGTATACATCTGTCCTAGTGTATAGATTATATGACTGTTGTCCTAGTGCATAGTTTATACAATTGCTGTGTTGGTGTATAGTTTATACAACTGCTGTCCTAGTGTATATAGCTTATACACCTGTCCTAGTGTGCAGATTATGCATCTGCTCTTGTGTATAATTTATACACTTGCTGTTCCAGTGTATATACTGTACTTACAAACCACAAAAACAAAAATACATTTTTGATTTATTGATTCAAAAGTGATTTATTAAGCTATTGATTTATTACGGACTGTATTACTTTATTAGTAGGACTCGGCTACTGAAGTGGTCAATAAAACTCTTGAGAACGAATCATGTTTATTTTCATAACAGCGAATAACAATGTATTAAATTATTAGAATTTGCATTTAGTAAGAAATATTATAATTACATAATTTAATAACGAAAATTAAATAACAGTCAAACGAAAATATAAAAACTAGGAAAGTTTAATAAGATTTCAAGTAAAATATTAAAATTTGTACAATTGTTAATATAATATTTTACTTTGAATTATTTATAAAAAAAAAATTATGTTATATAACTGTTGTCCTAGTTTATAATTTATAAATGTGATATAAAAAGGGAGTGGGTTCTCATATCTAGAGGGAAGGTAAGGGGGTATATATATATATATATATATATATATATATATATATATATATATATATATATATATATATATATATATATATATATATATATATATATATATATATATATATATATATATATATATGAATCTAACAGAACGACAATGGAATGTGTTACTCTATCAGATCTTGTATATTATTATTATTAATTGTATACACAACACTTAAAAAAAAAAAACTAATATAGCATCAAGGAGAGAAAGTCGGTCCGCCACCCGATCCTTCTCTTTCTGTTAATAAACCGTCTTTGGAGTAATACCGAGTGCTGGAGTCCTCAGAATACTCTGTAGTTAAGTCCTCGTCATCAGTTACATCTGGTGTAGTTGTCATCATATCTGTGGTGTGTTCCATGGTGTCTATGTCCAGTGTTGATGAGAGCTCTTGACTGTCATCTGTTTTGCCGGGATCCTCAATGGTGGGTTTGGATTCCTCGTGTTGGACGTCGGCCATGATGATGAAGCGACCGTGCGTGCGTCTCCGCACCCCGTCACTATCACTCATCTTGAACATGTTTCTGGATGATGACGTATATCCGGAATAATCGAAGAGTAATCTAAAAAAAATGACAATATAATCATTAGAACGTGATACTATAGCAATGGGAAAATATTGAACCTCTAAGGGATCGAACCCGTTTGAGGAGTCTTTAGGCAAAGGGGTTATAAACGGAAATACGTATCTTTACGAGTTTATACCTCCTTTAGGTGTAAACAGTTGCTCACCCTGTATAATTCCATGAGTATTGTTAAATAAATTTTTAAGTACTTAATTGAAAAGATATACTGCTAAAAATCCTAGCCTAGCCTCCTAAGTTTGTCTATTGTAGGATGTGAATGCGTCTTCCTGCGCGCGGGTGTCTTATCCGTCCCCGCATGCTAGGCAAGTAACTGATCTAGCTGCATGATAAGCAAGTAACTGATCTAGCTGCATGATAAGCAAGTAACTGATCTAGCCGCATGATAGGCAAGTAACTGATCTAGCCGCATGATAGGCAAGTAACTGATCTAGCCGCATGATAAGCAAGTAACTGATCTAGCCGCATGATAAGTAAGTAACTGATCTAGCTTTATGATAAGCAAGTAACTGCTCTAGCTAGCTGCATGATAGGCAAGTAACTGATCTAGCTGCATGATAGGCAAGTAACTGATCTAGCTTTATGATAAGCAAGTAACTGCTCTAGCTGCATGATAGGCAAGTAACTGACCTAGCTGCATGCTAAGCAAGTAACTGATCTAGCTTTATGATAAGCAAGTAACTGCTCTAGCTGCATGATAGGCAAGTAACTGATCTAGCTGCATGATAAGCAAGTAACTGATCTAGCTGCATGATAAGCAAGTAACTGATCTAGCTAGCTGCATGATAGGCAAGTAACTGATCTAGCTGCATGATAAGCAAGTAACTGATCTAGCCGCATGATAAGCAAGTAACTGATCTAGCTGTATGATAGGCAAGTAACTGATCTAGCCGCATGATAGGCAAGTAACTGACCTAGCTGCATGATGGGCAAGTAACTCAAGCGGTTAATAAGGCTTAATTTGGTGCACAGGAGTATTGAATATCAAGCTTTAGAAGGATGATCTTTATATAAAGCACTGCTTTGTTTACTATCAATTCAGAGTTTACTGTACTGAAGTTGTGAAGAGAGTTAGAGTTTTGGTCTTAAGCTGTATGACTGAACACAGCCTAAACGTAAGGGTTGTTACAGGAAGAATTAATTCGTCTGAGGCATATTAGACATGGGATCACTTGTTTCCAGAGGGTAGACTTAACAAATATATATGCGAGTTTGATTGGGTTTATATAGAAACTGCCTCGTATGAGCCAATAGGCCTTCTGCAGTCCTCTTTATTCTTATGAGACGTTAGGCTCACGTGTGGGATATTTTTTTATGAGTATAGACACTATAGAAAACAGGAAAGAGCGTACACTGTAGCCAAAGGGGGGGGGGTAGGAACACTCCCAGGGGAATCGGGAGACTAGGCTGTTTGTTGTGGTTGGCAGAATGTGATGAACGGAGTGAGTGAGTGATGAAGAGGGTGAGTGAGTGAGTGTCGTACCATTATCAAGCAGACACCATGCACTTCATGCCATGCACCAATCGTCCGTATTCAGCCTTACGACTGCAGCGCCTCCAGTAACTGATGAGGAGGGTTGCGTTCATCCATCAGAGGGGCGCTTTCAGATTCGGTGCTTGCGGTAGAGGTGGCAGTGGAGACAGTAGAGGTGGTGGTGGTGGTGGTAGGAGGCGGTGGTGTGGTGGTCGGAGCTGAGGTGGTCGTAGAAGAAGCAGTGGTAGTGTCTTCAGTTGTGGTGTCGGGGAAGGTGGTGAAGTCCGTAGTGGTGGTGGTGGTGGTGGTAGGTGGGGCCGGAGTGGACTTAAGGCCGTCGATCTCATCCTCCAAGTCCCGTATCTTGGCCTTGACTAAGGGAGGACAATTAATAATAAATAAATTTAATGTATTGTAAATTATACTTGACAGATTATAGATTCCCCACAATTATAGGTGAGTCCTCAAGCTTGCCCACACACACACCATCAGCTTAGCTCTTAATCTGTAACTACACAATTAATCAATCAATCAATGTTTAATCATAAAGAATATGTGTACAAAGAACGTATAAAATGTTCAGGGGGAATTGACAAAGTGGAAATATATGAAATGTTCACAAGTAATATTAACAGAACGAGGGGGCATGGGTGGAAGCTGGAAACTCAGATGAGTCACAGAAATGTTAGGAAGTTTTCTTTTAGCGTGAGAGTAGTAGAAAAATGGAATGCACTTAAGGAGCAGGTTGTGGAAGCAAACTCTATTCATAATTTTAAAACTAGATATGATAGGGAAAGGGGACCGGAGTCATTGCTGTAAACAACCGATGGCTAGAAAGGCGGGATCCAAGAGTCAATGCTCGATCCTGCAGGCACAAACAAGTGAGTACGCACACCCACACACACAGGTCTGAGCGGACACCGTAGGGAATCTTAGTCCAAAGGGCCCGGGTTCGATTCCCAACCGAGGCAGAAACAAATAGGCAGTTTCTTTTACATGATGCCCCTGTTCACTTAGCAATAAATGGGTACCTGAGAGTTAAACAGCTGCTACGGGCTGCTTCCTGGTGATGTGTGTGTATGTGAGAGCTCTCTCTCACAAATTTGAACAGAACAAATTTGGTCGGGAGCGTTGAGTACGTTAGGCTACTGACGGTTAGAAAGGCGGGATCCAAGAGTTACACCAACTCGATCGTGCAGCCACACACAAAATACACACTCGAGGCCCCGCAACTCACAGGTTAAGTCCATGACGACGACGGCGACGATGAAGCAGGTGAGGGCGAAGACGAGGAACCCGATGACGCGGAGGAGAATCTTCTCATCCCTGGAGCGGTGACGCCACGCCATCTTCACTTTCTCTCGACTGTCACCAAGGCAATTGGAAATCAAATTAAGTTGACTGAGAAATACACACAAAGGGATGAGGCAGCCTCATATGCTTCTTCTCACCGTGTTCGTATATACACACACATCATAAACAAGCGACTTAAAAACTTATTAACTCAAGGGAAGCTACGCACTAGGGGACACACGTGGAAATTGAGTGCCCAAATGAGCCTTAATTCTGATTGATTAACATATATACATTTTTTTCCTATTACACAGGCACTATTATACGAAAGGTAAACACGGATACTTTTATAACTAAGTACAAATACATAGACATACATAATAATAGTAAAGAGGCTATAAGGAGACATTCAGACAAATCCACAAAAGTTTCCAATCTTGGTACATATCTATATCCAGAATATCACCAATGTTTACATTGTGACACTTCCAGGCAATTTGTTCAGGAAAAGTTCTTATACCAGTATTTCTCTTGACATTAATCAACGATCAATCAAGAACATTATGAGTGATGGTGTGGGACGCCAACATAACATATACATAACTTACATAATACCTGTACCCAAAGTCTCAGTCGTATGTGTACACAGTTACTCCAACAATTTTTCCTCTTTTCCGTAAGTGTTTTTGTTTTTGACTCACATACAGTACGCGTTTCACTGTTTGACATTTATCATACATTATACCCCACTTGTGTGCGTGTGTATATATGTGTGTGTGTGTGTGTGTGTGTGTGTACTCACCTATATGTACTCACCTATATGTGCTTGCAGGATCGAGCATTGACTCTTGGATCCCGCCTTTCTAGCTATCGGTTGTTTACAGCAATGACTCCTGTCCCATTTCCCTATCATACCTAGTTTTAAAAGTATGAATAGTATTTGCTTCCACAACCTGTTCCCCAAGTGCATTCCATTTTTCTACTACTCTCACGCTAAAAGAAAACTTCCTAACATCTCTGTGACTCATCTGAGTTTCCAGTTTCCACCCATGTCCCCTCGTTCTGTTATTATTACGTGTGAACATTTGATCTATTTCCACTTTGTCAATTCCCCTGAGTATTTTATATGTCCCTATCATATCTCCTCTCTCCCTTCTTTTCTCTAGTGTCGTAAGGTTCAGTTCCTTCAGCCGCTCTTCATATCCCATCCCTCGTAGCTCTGGGACAAGTTCTGTGTGTGTGTGTGTGTGTGTGTGTGTGTGTGTGTGTGTGTGTGTGTGTGTGTGTGTGTGTGTGTGTGTGTGTGTGTGTGTGTGTGTGTGTGTGTGTGTGTGTGTGTGTGTGTGTGTGTGTGTGTGTGTGTGTGTGTGTGTGTGTGTGTGTGTGTGTGTGTGTGTGTGTGTGTGTGTGTGTGTGTGTGTGTGAGCGTGTGTGTGTGTGTTTTCCTGCACGGATAATTAATGCCGTACATGACAACGCCCTTCCGGGCAGTCTCTGAGCGGACAATGCTTTACCGCAGCCTGTACACCAATGAGGAAATAACGACTATACACGGCACAACATATGTACACTAATACACATGGCACTCTCTTCATAATGCCTTATAAAGTTTAGTTTACGTAAAGCATAAGAGCTTTACTACCCAGGTCGTACTGTACATACGAGCAGCATGAGAACGAAGGCATTAGGCTATTCTGGTCGAGTTTGAACTGAAATGTGGTCATCAGTCTCACGTTTCTAAGGTGTAGGTGTAGTGGTCAATCTAACGTCTTTAAGGTGTAGGTGTAGTGGTCAATCTAACGTCTTTAAGGTGTAGGTGTAGTGGTCAATCTAACGTCTTTAAGGTGTAGGTGTAGTGGTCAGTTTCACGTCTCTAAGGTGTGATGGGTTAGGTTACATTAGGCTAGGTTACACGCAGTAGGAAATGTTTAGTTTTGAGACTTCTTCTAAAGCCCAGACCTGCGCAGGGCGCCACATGCACATGGGGAACCATCCGATGTTAGTGATGTTTATTAGTAAAGTATCGTCCGCAATCAACTGCAATTGACGGAGGAGTGGGGGGAGGGGCATGGGGGGGGATGGGGTCTGTGATTGACACAGGGTCCGCTCTCTGTGTTGCCATCAAGTCATCGGCACTAGCACATTTTTGTTCAAAGGACGTAAGCAATCATCAAAAGAAGGCACCAAGGCGGACTTTTGTTTAAAGTTTGCATCAAATAATGAACCGATTGTATAAACAGGGATTTGTAAGTTATCCGTGTTTTTTGACTCATAAAGTTGTTCAAATTGACGTTGTATTCTATTCACCCATTGGGTGATCGTAAAGCATTTCAGTAGCCCTCATGCTTGTCTAATTGCTCAAATGGGGGGTAATAGACGTTAATTAAGTTCTATCAAACGCTGACGTAATTCATTATACACTCATTAACTCATTCATTATATGATTATCAACGTTTAAACTTGAAAAATGTGAACAGAATTATCCAAATTCGAGAATTTGAGGATAATTTAATACCAAGATAATTCTGTTGTCGGGGACAGGACGCCTGTATACTTACTGAAGGCTTGGCGAGGTAGGCCAGCTATACTGACCTTTCCTCCCCTCGGGATGCGACCCACAATAGTTTGGCCTAACTCCCGGGTATATCTATTAACTGTTAGGTCAACTGAGGCATCGGGTGAAAGGATACGTGCCCAACCAATACCGTCCTGCCCGAGGATTGAACCAGGGTCCCTCGGTTGTGAGTCGAGGACGAAGATCTTCATGGAACCCAGAGATTATTTTGACTGGTGGATACCAAGAACTTTGTTGTGATATCACTGTGGGTTTTGAAGCGTTCCAGACGGTCTGATAGGCTGCGTTGAGGTGGTATGTGTTCGGATAGGCTACGTTCAGGTAGTATATACTCTGATAGGCTGCGTTCAAGTGGTATATGCTCTGATAGGCTGCGTTCAAGTGGTATATGCTCTGATAGGCTGCGTTCAGGTGGTATATGCTCTGATAGGCTGCGTTCAGGTTGTATATGCTCGGATAGGCTGCGTTCAGGTGGTATATGCTCTGATAGGCTGCGTTCAGGTGGTATATGCTCTGATAGGCTGCGTTCAGGTGGTATATGCTCTGATAGGCTACGTTCAGGTGGTATATACTCTGATAAGCTGCGTTCAGGTTGTATATGCTCGGATAGGCTGCGTTCAGGTGGTATATGCTCTGATAGGCTGCGTTCAGGTGGTATATGCTCTGATAGGCTGCGTTCAGGTGGTATATGCTCTGATAGGCTGCGTTCAGGTGGTATATGCTCTGATAGGCTGTGTTCAGGTGGATTTGCTGCGGTCAGCACTTGAGGTAGTTTATGCTCGGGAAGAAGCCTCGACCTATCCAACGTATACCTCGCCTCACGACCCTTGGTTCGAGGTGCTCCATTTGTCTTGCAAACGTCAACATTCAATCATTTTCGACCGCATTCTTCCCCCATCTGGGCCGTAAGTGGTGGTTCCGCATTGAAGCATAATCGCACACATTAAGACCGCATGCGTCCGCACGGAAGCACCCTCAGGCTGAGACTGCGGGAGGAAGAGGGGGGAGGTGTGGGTGTTATAGCTCTTGGACCCCGCCTTTCCAGCTGCCGGTTGTTTAGAGTAATCACTCCCAACCTTTCTATCATATCTGCTTGTTAAATTATACATGGGGTTGGCTAGTAATAATTAATTTTGTCGGTGACAGGCAGCCTCTTGGTATTTATATATGAGCATTTCCTCTTTCTCCATTCTATATCCCTAATTATTTTGTATATGTCTATCATGTCTCCTCTTTCTCTGGCTCGTATTTCCTTAACGATGAAATCCGGCTCTTTCAGCCTGTCTCTAAATAATAGGCCTAGATCTTCGAGAGTGGGCATTGTCTCTGCTCATTGTGGTGTAGTGATAGAGTAGCCTGTAGTTTGGGTTCTATTGTTAATACTGAGGTTAACAATTAGCAGGAGAACAGGTTAAGTTAGTATGACGAGTCGCACTTGGAAGGAGGATACGAGGACGAGGACCCGGACTAGGAGTGAGTGAAGCGACGATACCCTACCACTTGGGCAGCCCGTTCTCCAAACAAAGATCCAAAAGTGATTCCATGCACCCGCCAAACCCCCTGTTTATGAATGAAAAGCAGTTTACACACGACTCACAACTGCTGACGTTCGAACATATCCGGAACAAGTGCTTCACTGACGAATTTTGTTCGAATCACAACGCTGTAAATGCTTCACCCACGTACTACAAATACAAATAATCGCCAACAGAACCTAAACACCTAACCTATGCCTATATATACACAATATGCTAATATGTTATAATATTAATTTATAATTGAGAAAATTCCCGTTATGAATGAACAGCATGTTAAAATTTATGAATGCGTCTGTGGGGTTGACCGCTGGATGTAATGGACTTGAGTCGAGGACGGGTTGCACTTGGGTCATCGGGGGATCGAACGCCGACCAAGCAGAGCTCGAACGCCGACCCAGAGCAGCGCCGTAGCTCTGCCGAACAATCTAAGTTCACGGATTAGTTTGTTATTTGTTCACCCTCGGGACAGGTGTTGTGTTCAACTGCAACATGTATAACGTTCACCTCTTAGGTTATTTGTTCAGCTAGAGAGTCAACACACTTGAATGAGCTGTTCAATAATAAAGTAGGTACAGTGTTAATGGTGAACGTGTTCTAATGGTGAACGTGTTCTAATGGTGAACGTGTTCTAATGGCGAACGTGTTCTAATGGTGAACGTGTTCTAATGGTGAACGTGTTCTAATGGTGAACGTTGTTCTAATGGTAAACGTGTTCTAATAGTGAACATGTTCTAATGGCGAACGTGTTCTAATGGTGAACGTGTTCTAATGGTGAACATGTTCTAATGGTGAACATGTTCTAATGGTGAACATGTTCTAATGGTGAACGTGTTCTAATGCTGAACGTGTTCTAATGGTGAACGTTGTTCTAATGGTGAACGTGTTCTAATGGTGAACGTGTTCTAATGGTGAACGTGTTCTAATGATGAACATGTTCTAATGGTGAACGTGTTCTAATG